CTGGGGGGGGGTCCAAAAGGATCGTTCTCTATAGAATATACCATAAAGAAACAAATAGGTATTCGCAAATATAGGAGAGAGAGAGGAGCTTAACCCTTAAGTACAGAAACAACAATTATCTCAGAGAAAAAAAATATAAGATTTGACGTCTAGAAAGCCAAGGTTGAAATACTGAACAAAGAGAGATCACTTTGCATAAATCTGCACAAATATATTGCGATAAAAGATTGCAACGTATTCAGAATTTACAGAATAATCTTTCACATCACATTCAAAAGCAAAAATTTCGCTAATTACTGGTGATTTTCTTGAACTTTTGTTTTGTTTAATTAGTCGGGAAATTATCGTACATTTCTTAACCGGAAACTGGAGTTTGAGTGTTAGTTTAGGATTAAGGTTTGGATATAAAACATAAATGTCGTCTTTGAAGTATGTCTACAAAAATAATTTGATAAATGATTACAGGGTGTCCTACGAAACATGACATTTAATAAATCGTTATTTTAAGTTAAAAAATCTTTTGTTTCATTATCTTTTACTTTGAAATTAATTTTAATATAGCATGACTCCCATATAATATTTTTATTGATCTTTGGTATCAAACAACTTAACAAATTATGGAAAAAGACATTCTAAACTATTCACCAACTGTCATGTTTCGTGGGACACCCTGTATGTGTGTATCATATGTCGGTAGGTCCGTATTTGAATTACTGCCGTTTGAACTATTGATCGTTTAAACTATTGTTCATTCTACCTACTACTCATAGAACTATCAATTATATGCAGTTTAAAATTTTTTGTCATGTCCAAAAATCGTTCTCTAGGAAATTACCATTTTGGCTGCTTATAACTTGAGTATATAAGCTTTTTCATTGTATATTATATATGTGACGAGGAAAGGGAGGGGCCATTAAAGTGCATTTTGTCTATCTGATTTGAAACTTAATTAAAGGATATGGTCGGTGTGGGGGGGGGGGCTGGGTATGATGATGCGGAGGGGGTTAGGGTACAAGGAATAGAAATTCATATTTGAAGATTTTTAACACTAAGGTTGTATTTCATATTGTAAATTTTCTCTGTTTTAACGTAATATACAGGGTGTCCCACGAAACATGACAATAGCAAGAGGACTTGGAAGTCGTCTTTGGTATTTGAATTTATTTGTGACATTTAGTCTTCTATCTACTTTAACATGTATGATTCTTTAAACAATTATCACATAATTCTCCTAGCCCTGGCATTTCCAAAAAGTGGTCTGCGTTTTTTGTGCTTTCAATATTACCGGAGATATAAAGAGTTTGGTTCAGATTTCAATTTTGTTAAATNTGGGATGGAGGGGGAAGGGAGGGGGGTTGCAAAGTAAGTACGTCTGGGCCCCTGACCCACTTCGCCTCCACAGAACATAAAGTTAATGTATAAGATAAAACAAATTTAAGAATTAATTTTCCTTTGTGTCTGTAACTCCTGGAATCTTTCCTCCGAACTTCTTTGTCATCTTATAAACTAAAAATAAATTTAGACAATTATTCAACAAACATTCAAGTTTTAAAGGAATTTACTAATTTTTCACAAAAATTTGATTTATGAGTTTAGTGCAGGGCTGTCCACAAAAGATGAGCTTATATAACATCCTAAAACTCTAAGTACATATAAAAGTAAGCGCCTGAAAGGAGCAATGAATATAAAAAAGTCAATATAACTCAAATAGTCACTGTCTAACTATGGGTAACCCATAGATTTAAGAGTGGGCATAGATTATTGGAAAAAGGAAAAAGGCGAAGAATAATTCAATTGCTAATTTCAAAAACGACAATTTTGACATCCTTTATGAAACGCTAACTATAACACTGATTTTTAGAGTTTTTATACTTTACATTTATCGAGGTGCTTTTTAAAAATATGAACAATTTGCTTTTTGACCCAAACAGAGAAAGGCGTACACGATGTTTAAAATTGTGAAGTTTGTTCATAAACTATTAGTCTTCTTCTTGGCCTGTTTCTTATGTCAAAGTAAAAAAATTTTAAATCTTGCTGTGTACTGAAAGAAACCTACAGGGTGTCCCACATCATATTAGACCGAGAACGGGTCTAAATTACGATTTTCGGGACTAATTAGAAAATTTTATTAGAATGAATCATTTTGAAAAATAACATAAGGCTTATATAAGAATTTTCTTGCGGAAAAGGATAAGTTTTTCGAGTATTAAGGGTTTATTTTGGTGTTAAAGATTGGAGATAATCTAATATGATATGGGAGTGGGACGCTCTGTATATAGAGATTCACAGTTTGCTTTCTTGAAGATTAATATTTTATTAATTATGAAAGACCTCGTAGATTTTTGTAAAGTCATCTGAACGCCAAAAATTCCCAACAATATCCAGTAGTAAGTCAAAACCAAATCATGATATGTCACTAAAACTGTGAAATAGAAAGACGACTTGTAATTTTCTGCGAATTTGATGTTTTACTTTTTAAATAATTTTACCAGCAGCTTGGATATCAACTTATTGAGTAAAATGGGTCTGTGCATACTGCACAATTTCTGTGTTACAATGTTCATTGATCAATTCTAAATCATAACAATCAAGTCTGGCAGTCGTTTTCATAAACACAGTTTTTCAGGTCTCACTGTATGTTACCAGCAGTGTGGACTTCGTCGTAGTGTGGATTGAGGATGTCCTTGACCCTGGTCATGTAGGAGGAGAGGATGGGTCGATCCTTACGTACATCGTATCTAGGGGTTAAAGAAAGTTTTAATTTATTTGTTACCCGACCTGACTAGTATTGATTTCGTTCGTTTTACATAGTGTAAAAGAAGCTATAATGTTTAGAATAAACTGTTTTGAAATTTGTATAACTTCTCAAAAATTAAAATCAAAACCGCAACACTAGACCTGACCTACCGGCTACCCATGCCCGTCCTGACTTCCCATTACCCACCCAGACCTACCCTGCCATGGATGGTTGCTCTAGTTCACATGCTGCCAGTATATCAGCTACAGATATTGTGTCTCCACACATAAACTTCTGATTGCCTTCCTTCAACCAGGTCTAAATTATTAACAAATTAATGCAGAGCTTACTCTCCTCATGCTATAATTTTCCGATCCTTATTTCTTTGCAATCTGATGTCGTAGACCTTTGACATTCTAAACTATGAATTCTACTAAAATTTCAACGTTTCAAGGGTTTAACCACCAGGTTACAAAGATATTAGAAAAATAAGGAAGTTTATCAGTTTCTCAATTGTAAAAAAATGGTTTCAGTTTTCAAACTCAAGTTCATTTATGGAACAGTTTTTATTTGTTACATGTTTACAGTATCCACTTATATCGATGTTCTTGTATATTTTTGTATACAAATTTGATGGAAGTAAATTTATTCTTCTTCAATTACCGACCACATTGCTGGCAATAAAAACATCTTTTACCTTTTCAATTGTATCAAGACATTCCTCCATTCCTTTTCTCAGCTGAGCCACTAACTTCTCATTTGGTTGCTTCTAGAAGTAAAAATATTTTCCAAATATTACTTTCTTCTGTGTTTCCAGTGAGTTAATTTAAATTAAACTCACGTTTTTTACAGTGCGCTGTTTTCTGTATTCCGTGCAAAAAACTTTTCTTTCATATTCACAATTTTTACAGTATTTAATTGCTGAGTGAATTTATTTCTGCTCTATTTCAGGTATAATAACTTTGGCAGTACATAGAGACAAAGTATACTAACCACAAAAATATGGAAAATGGTTTTTGATCGTTCAAAACTTGAGAGGAAATATCAGATGAAGAAAAAAGGTTTAAACAGTTGTCTAGTTCTAGCTAATTTCAGGTCAATTTAGATAATTGCACCCAAATGTGCATTGAATAATGAAAAGGATCATGAAAGAAGTGCATGCTTCAAACTATGTATAAAGAAGCAAATTCCAATTTATGAATCTTCCTTTTTTTCAAAATTCGACTGACTTCATCATTTATATAGCTTGCTCTTTTGTATCAACAAGTTTTTTATTTGTATATCAGAATTCAGAGAAATTCAATGCATGTTTTTTTCTGGATGAGTTTGCTCAACCAGTAAGATAGAACCGAGCAGAGATTTAAAAACCTTAACCCCAAGTAAAACCCGGTCTTAAAGTCTACTAAAGTCTAAGTAAAGCTCAAGTCAAGCCTCGGGTTTGGGATGGCCTTGGGTTTAGCAAAAACCAACCGTCTTGGGTTTTTCGCTCTTGAAGGCTCGGGTCTTCGAAAGCTAATTATTGTAAATTTCGTAAAAAATATTATATTTGTACATTTTAAATCTAGGGAATTATTTGTGGTGTAAAATTTGATCAATAGGTATGAAATCTACATGTAGTTAAAATTTTCGAAATGTGCATGCAGGGACCTCGCCTCAGCTGATCTGTCTGCTATGAGGAGAAAGCTTTCATAAGCAGTCTTTCATTTGTATCTCATTGATCAAACAGGAGCTATCCTGACTCGGGTTTTACTAACGCTCAAATCTCTGAATAAACCAGGTTTTACTCGGGTTTAAGCTTTTTAAATCCCTGCTCTGAAGACTGAAACGATAGAAAATTCGGAATTCTTCCTCAAAATCCCAACTCTGAATAAGAATTGGATGGTACCTGTTTCAAAATAGGTATCAGCCATCTTGCTCGGAAGTATCCTGCACACTAGAAATATTATTATTTTCAAGATTGTTTAACATTTTTTGAATGACCCATCTCCGTGAAAATGAATTTAAAACAATAGTACAGGAATTATGAAAAATTAGATTTAAACAATTTTGTTGGCTTCTCCTCCCCCTAAATGGTAAACCTGCATTCTTGTATTCAGATGTTGCCATTCAAGGTATTCATCCACGCGAGCCTGAGCTTTACTATCCTGAAATGTGCCAGACTAAATAAATTATTAAAAAAAGACTTTCGACGTATTGCCAAGGGACCCCTATATACAGAAATATCCAATTGACAGCAAGAATTTTGAGTTCATTATAATCTATTGTCTAGCGGATTCATGCAGCAGAGTCAAAGAATAAAATTGTCAAAATCTAACACTTTTCCAGATATAAAACGACTATATCTTCCTTGTTGCTGCTAATATAAACATTAACATGATACTGTTGTGAATCTGACATGGAAATCTTTTAATGAAGGGTCATTTAAAATTATGTCGACATACTTATGATGCAAAGGAATTGAGTCTTTCCCACAAATGCTGATTTTTTAATCCCAATATCTTTGCAACCCAATGTCGTAGACCTAAAGACATTTCAATTAATAGTTTCTGTTAAATCAAATGGTCTAAGTTTGAAATATCAAATCTCTACAACACCAGGTTAAAATGATATAAGGATTACAAAATTTGAGGATGTCCCAAAGACTTAATTTCTTTATTTTAAGATTCTACCTTAGGATACCAATGATCAGCAATGTCCTTTTCACGCGCCAAATATCTTTATGAAAGTTGATCAAAATACTTAGGCAAAAATTAACCCTTGACAAAGGGTCATTCTTTTATGAAGAAATATTTTAATTTGTCTTTCAACAATTTTTACTGAATCCACTTATCTTAAAACTTATTAAAACAGGTTCATGTCAAAACCAGCTCTTTAAATAAGAATGCCATTCACTCTAATTATTATCATTATTATTATTATTATTATTATTATTATTATCATTATCATTATCATTATAATTATTATTATTATTATCATTATCATTATTATTATCATTAAATCCCTTGAGCTTTCCGGATTAAAGACATTAAAATGAACGTAATTTAGTTTGTAATAAGTCGGGATTTTGTTTTAAGCATTTGTCTCGTCAAAAATTCGGAAAAAATGCTAAAATCTGATAATAATAAATTTGATCCTGTTTTCCTGAACATGGCCACAGATTCGGTTAAAGTGAAGTCTCCATCCTAAAAAAAGAATAAGTAATTCAAAGACGTAACGGGGGGGGGGGGGCAAAGCTCAATGTCCCTCTTCTATTCTTTAAACAACCGTAGAAAGGGAGGGAGGGGGGGATTTTTAACTTTAAGGTTCACTCCTGTGAATTTAATTTAGAATTACCATTTAACTGTGCAATTCTTAGAAATCGCTGTCTCCCCATTTAGTCAAAATTCTCATGTTTAAGGGAGTGTTCGCTAAAATGAAAGGGGGTATAGGCTTACGTCGAAAAATTAGGGATGGTGATCGCTACATAATCTTTCTTTTATCTGTTGCGTCCGAAAGGAGAAAGTTGATAAAAACGACTCATACTTGATATTATTAGAAAAAAAACGAAGTCAAAAATATTATGAAATATAACTTTAAAAGAATTATGCGTCGAAAAATTATCGATGATTATAGGTTGTGATATCTAAATAATTTTCTCCTTATAGACGCAACAGATAGAAGAAAGAATAGTAGCGATCACCATCGATAATTTTTCGACGTAAGCCTATACCCCCTTTCATTTTTCGCGAACACTTCCTTTAACAAAAAATGTGTTTTCCACAAAAACTCAACTAAAGGCTAAAAAAAAATTCATCCAATATTCTAACATTAAATTAAACAGTTAGACACTTCTTTGCACCTTTTTTACCTTAATTACTGGTATTTTCTGTAAAGGGTTCATTGTAGTATATTCGTCTGTTGTATGTTCTCCCTTAGCAATCCTTATTGGAATATGCTCATGTGGGACTCCGGCAGCTAAATCAAATCAACATATAAACAAAATTCTAAAAATTAATGAAATTTTTGAATTATTTATTTGGTCTTGCCATTTTTTAAATGTGGTCTGCTTTTTTATGCTTTCAAAATCACAAGAGATACGAATGGTTTAACAGAGATAAAGAATCTGAACAACATTTTATCTCTGGTAATTTTGACGCAAAAAAGACAGACCACATTTTGGAAATGTTTTGTAATTGCTTTTATCAATAAATTCCGCTTCTTAGATAAAATCACTGTCCTTTATGTCTTGAAAAGACATTTTGCAGAATGATATCATATAGATAGGCCATTTCATAGATAGGACATTTCATAGATAGGACATTTCATAGATAGGACAATTCATAGATAGGACATTTCTTAGAAAGGACATTTCATAGATAGGACATTTCATAGATAGGGCATTTTATAGAAAGGAAATTTCTTAGATAGGACATTTCATAGATTGGACATTTCATAGATAGGACATTTCATAGATAGGACATTTCATAGATAGGACATTTCTTAGAAAGGACATTTCATAGATAGGACATTTCATAGATAGGACATTTTATAGATAGGACATTTCATAGATAGAACATTTCAAAGATAGGACATTTCTTAGAAAGGACATTTCATAGATAGGACATTTCATAGATAGGACATTTTATAGATAGGACATTTCATAGATAGAACATTTCATAGATAGGACATTTCTTGGATAGGACATTTCATAGATAGAACATTTCAGTTGCATTCCCACAGCCTAGGATAGCAGAGCTCTGCTAAAAAGCTCTTTACACTATTTGCAGGGATGCTGGGAAAGGTGCTCGTACATTTGGAGGGAGGGAAGGCCAAGCCGCCCGGAACCCTGTGCTCAATTAGCCAGCCTCCTTCTTAACTACAGTAGCCACGGCCAGGGTACTAAGTCAAGAAATAGAAATAACAAAGAGCTACTATGTCTAACACAAATGCGGTTTTATATCAACTCCGCTTAGCAATCAGAGCCCTATCTGGGAAGGGCCCTGTCCCTGCTCCCTGAGCAAAGCTGATAAAAGGAGACAACTCCGCATTCTGCGTGCACAGTAAATGGAATACTTCAATAAATTTTGAATTAACATTGCTGAAAATTTTTATAGATTTTACATTTAATAGATAGGAAATTTCATAGATAGGACATTTAATAGATAGGACATTTCATAGTTCATAGTTCTATCTATAACAAATCTTATCTATAAAATGTCTTAACCTATAAGAAATATCTTTTATTATGAAATTATCTATCTACAAAATGTACTATTTATGAAATGTCCTATCTGTGAAAATTCGTAATGAATTTGTTATCCATAAAATGTGACCTTTGTTAATTTATTAACTTAATATATTGGCAACTTAACTCCTAAGGGTTTAAACCTTTGTTACTTCAAAATTTGACTATCTGATATAGGCAGTATATGTACATATAAGCTTAAGGGAATAATTTAAGTTGTTAAATATAAAACTGATTTCTCAATGGTCCAAACTTTAGACCAATTCGGCCAATAATTTCATACATTAAAGGAATGGAGTTTAAAATTTCCAGTACATTTTTTAAAAATTCTAGAGGCTCAGTAACATCTCACCATATAACATTTCACCATATAACAACTCGCCATATAACAACTTACCCAAGTAATAACTCGCCTAAGTAATATTTCGCCATATAACAACAACTCGCCAATATATAAATTTTTAAATTAAATTGTAGTGTAAATGATACCAGAAAATCCATGAATCAAAAACTAAAAATCCGCAAATATAGTAATTTCAACAATGTCGAGAGTACTGCACGCATCTACAACTCAGCGGGGAAACCAAAGATAATATATATATAGATATGCAGGCAGGTATAAATTTTGAATCTCAGAGGTTCAAAAATTAGTTGTCTGCTACAAGCAATTTAGGAAGGAGGTTTCTACCTGCCTGCATATCTATATATATATTATCTTTGGGGGAAACCATCTATGGTTGACATAAAAATTTAACAACTTCTCCTACACTAAATTTAAATCTACTTTTATATGAGCTGAACACTGTTTCATGATTTTATATAATTACATATATACTTTCTACTAAACTACTAATAAACTACTACTTTCCACTAAATTTTGTTTTTTGTTTTTATATGGGGAGTTATTGTTTTATCTCACAATGTTATATCGCAGGTTGTTATATGGCGAAATGTTATGGCAAGTTGTTATATGGCGAAATGTTATATAGCGAAATGTTATATGGCGAAATGTTTTATGGCAAGATGTTATATGGTGAGATGTTACTGAGCCATTCTAGATGCTTGGCACCTCGACAGAAGAGGACAATAGCTCGGGCAGGCTGGGACATAAGATCTGCGTATACTTTGACGCTCATTTTCTGTCTAAAATACGCAATTATCTTAATTAATTATGAAAGGAATCTAATTAGGGGTCACATAAACTCAAAAATTGATAATTTCTTCCATCCAGAGTTTTGTCCTTAAAAAAGTCATAATTTTCGGTCCTAATTTTAATTTCGTTTTCTAAACAATTTTCCAGTTTTTTATTCCTTTCCTTTAATATTCAGACCGTCTGATATCATATTATGATTATCTCCAGGCACATACGCACATAATACTCGAAAAAAACTTAGTATTTTCTGCATGCAAATTTTTATAATTGCCTTATACAATTTTTTAATTGATTCATTTTATTTTTATTTTCTGATTTATAGTCCCGAAAATTTTATTTTAAAGCTGTAAACGATCTAATATGATACACCCTGTATAATTCAACTTCACTTTTGTTCCTTTTGAATGTTATAAATCTGTTTCTTCAAGATAACATTGTTTTTATGAAGATAAGTTTGCAGGAACTGTTTCCAGTTTGTAAAGTGTACACTTTGGCCTGACGTACACTATGAACTCGAGTAGTAGAGGAGCGGAAAGACTGGACATATTTTAGAAACTGCAGTGTTTCGAATCGATTCGAAAACTATTTTTCAAAGTTAAACTCCTTACATTGTTTTTAAAATAAAAGAGCTAATCATAAAATTTACTTTTCGAAATCCGGAAACGCAAACTCTGTTTTTTTTTTCAAAAAATAATCTCAATTAAGTTATAGTCTCAGGACACTGATAACATTTAGGATTTGAAAGATACATAAATAAATAGGAAGATGAACATTTACGTAGAAAGATCTACAAGCCTCAAATTGGACTCATTGAATCGGAAATTGTATGTAAATTTAAAAAAATGTCTCAATCTTGAAAATCCGATTACAAGCAAGTCTGTATGACCTTTATACAAAATTGTGCAAACGGAGATTATCTTATTTATATCAAATTACTCACTCCAATTTGAAACTTTAGGAGCCTATAAAATTGTTATTTTTGTATCTACAAGCCTAAAATCGGGTTTATTTAATCGGAAATTGTACGTAAATTTTAAAAATTGTCTCAATCTTGAAAATCTGATTACAAACGAGTCTGAGAAGCAGCAAATTATATCAAAAATCAAGACGACATTCAAGTCGTCCTGCATACTGTCATGTTTCGTGGGACACCCTGTAGTTCTTACAAGGACAGAAATGAAAAATCTTCATCCCAAGCCCCCCCCCCCACTCTCTCAGATTGAATTATGTAATAGCCTAATTCATTTATTTGTTTTCTGGCATCTAAAATGCAGAAGATGAACTGGAAAAGTTCAAGTCACGGTTTAAGAGATATTACAAAAGAACCCAAGATTCAGTTTGAGGAAACCAAGAGAATATTGGAACACATGGCAAACCTCTGGTGAAGAGAATTACTTCTATGAGTCCATCTGAGAGACTAAGTACACCAAAGATCAATGCAATTATTGCCAAGGTCCGTTTTACTGCACCTGAATGGCCAGGTTGTGGGCAAAAGACCAGAAAAGGTTGCAAAGATAAAGATGAAATTCCACAAGGGTTGGAATTTTGTGCGTACAAATAAATATATATACATATAAGAGCGAAAAGCTTTTTTATGGATTAGATATACACCTGGTGATCTGTATTTAAAATTTATCATGTTAGGTGATACACACTGTATGCAATTGCAACATACAGTTCAAACAGTAACATATTATGATTTATCTATTTAATATTTTTCTGAAATATTATTCCATGAGATAATGCACAACCCTTCGGCCTTCTTTTTAACTAATATTTTCCATTATTAAAAATTTAGTAAAAATATACATCTAATGATAAATGTGAAATAAAATATAAAACTATATTTTAATTATAACTATAAAACAGAATATTTTTCATATGTTGGCCCAAGATGAATACACTAAAGCTCTTTACAGGTTTGACTAAAAAATTCTTTTTATTAATTGTTTTTATTTAATTTAATGTTCTTCCAAAACTATCAAAATAAATTATGTATTTTATTCAGGGTTAGGTAAATACTAAATCTGGGCCTAGCGCTGCAGTTAGGACAGTCTAGAGGGCCGATCGCTGTGGTTAGGATAGGCTAGGGGGCCGACTGCCGCTGTTAGGGCACCTTGGGGCCGGGGGTTGCGGCCACATTTATAACTTTCCACATGTGTAACATACAAGAGCTACATGTACAAAATGATAGGAGGGAGGGGGGCCAAAAGCATACGAGAGGATTAATCATTTGTTTTAAACGATTAAAAACCGTTACCACATTTTGACAGCTCAGTTGAATTTTAATCTGTTAATCTGTCAGTCTATAAAGAAAGGGTCTGTCCTAGTGAACGATTTTTGGACAAATTAAAGGTATATTAAATTATAATATATTTTCTGTGATAAGTCATATGTAAAATATCTTTAATTTTTGTATTAAAAGAAAAAAATGTTTTTAAAATTCCAAAGGAATTGAGTTTTTGCCACAAACTCAAATTTTCTAATCCCTATATCTTTGCAACCTTATAATGTAAATCTATGATATTTCATACTTAGACTATTTGATCTAAAAGAATCCATTGCTTGAAATATCAAAGGTCTACGACATTGGGTTGCAAAGGTAGCAAATCACCGACCACCGTTTGTTGCAAAAACTCAGGTCCTTTCCCGAGCTCAGCATGTAACATGGAAACAATTGTCCTGATTCTGGCCTGTTTTTTTTCTGTAACTCACCAGACGAGGGGGGTGGGGTGGGGGGGGGAGTTCTTTTAAGCTCCCAACCCACCTGCTCACGGTAAACTATAATTCCTGATTTAAATTTCAGTGCGTTTTAACTTTGAAATCTGTTTTACCCATTAATTTCAGATTTTTTATACTTTCTTTTTCTGGATATACATTCTCAATATTTTAATTTCACTCGGTGCTCCTGGGCCCGTAGTACAACACCCCTCTATTCACCCTTGTTTTGGGAAATCCTGGTTACGGGCCTGGCTACTTTTAACGGATTTTGACTGGGAGATAATAATTAAAATATGTTTAACTGAAAATATTCCGAGACAGTCTGCAGGATGCTCTTCGTAATAGTTAGTTTTTCTGTGTGTTGTGAAAAAAAAGGTTCCAATATTTTTTGTAAAATAGGGTTTTTTCTTAGGGGTGGGGCACAATGTTGCCAAGTGAGGGGGAAAAAAAATTTTTACGCGCTGACCCGCGCAAAATGTGCCCCCCCCCCCCCCTACACAAATGCTCTCGTACGCTCCTGGTGTTGTAGTGTAGTGAACAGACATTTAATATATTGTCTTGTCTACCAGTACAAACAAACACAAACCTCTATTTTTCAAAAGAACCTCATAATTTACTTTTTCATTTATTCAGCGGCACTCACATTCGCAGGTTGTGTAGCTCTACTCCGGCCGTGCCGCCAGCCCGTCCAATAAACTCATAAATTAAAGAAAGGCAATTTTTTCCTCTGAATTTTAAAAACGCGCCACTATTTTTTAATCTTCGTGGGGTTGCATGTCTGGTCATCTATATAATAAAGGTTTTTGCTTTTGCATATTTATATGTCAGCTTTTTTGAAGGGAACCCATTGGTGCGTGGTAGGAATTACAAAGGGAAAAAAATTTATTCAAAAAGCGTTTTTTTAAATGAAATTTCTTTTCTTTATAAGCCCCAAATAAATTAAGTCTTACTAAAATTCTACGCCCCACGGGCAAAGCTGGGCTCTTCAGCTAGTAACTCATAAACCCCCTTGACCGATTTGCTTAAGATTTCTCTGCTTGGTTTGAATATTCCAAGACTATAGTCTCTCTAACCTTATATTCTTGTACCTTCAAAACCTGATAAAGACCATTGACATTTAATTTTTTAAGTTAATTTTTCTCGGCAGTCAATACTTGAAATATCAAAGTTTTATAACATCCAAGATCGGAACTTTTATTACATCCTGAGATCGGAACTTGTATAACATCCAAGATCGGAACTTGTATAACATCCAAGATCGGAACTTTTATAACATCCAAGATCGGAACTTTTATAACATCCAAGATCGGAACTTTTATAACATCCAAGATCGGAACTTTCATAGCATCCTGAGATCGGAACTTTTATAACATCCTGAGATCGGAACTTTTATAACATCCTGAGATCGGAACTTTTATAACATCCAAGATCGGAACTTTTATAACATCCTGAGATCGGAACTTTTATAACATCCAAGATCGGAACTTTCATAGCATCCTGAGATCGGAACTTTTATAAAGATCGGAACTTTTATAACATCCTGAGATCGGAACTTTTATAACATCCAAGATCGGAACTTTTATAACATCCTGAGATCGGAACTTTTATATCATCCGAGGTTGGAACTTTTATAACATCCGAGATCGGAACTTTTATAGCATCCTGAGATCGGAACTTTTATAACATCCAAGAACGGAACTTTTATAACATCCAAGATCGGATCTTTTATAACATTTAAGATCGGAACTTTTATAACATCCAAGATTTGAACTTTTATAACATCCAAGAACGGAACTTTTATAACATCTAAGATCGGAACTTTTATATCATCCTGAGATCGGAACTTTTATAACATCCTGAGATCGGAACTTTTTTAACATCCAAGATCGGAACTTTCATAACATCCGAGATCGGAACTTTTATAACATCCGAGATCGGAACTTTTTTAACATCCAAGATCGGAACTTTTATAACATCCAAGAACGGAACTTTCATAACATCCGAGAACAGAACTTTCATAACATCCAAGATCCAAACTTTTTTAACATCCTGAGATCGGAACTTCCATAACATCCGAGATCGGAACTTTTATAACATCCAAGATTGGAATTTTTATAACATCCGAGATCGGTACTTTTGTGCGGATATTGTTAGTCTTAAAAATGCTTGATCTCGATATCCGATGTAAGCACTTTTAAATTTGAGGATCGACATTTACATCAGATGAAGATTAATGCTTGATCCTGAGATTTACAACACAAAAGTTCTGACTTCAGGCTGCACAGATATAGGGATTCGAAAATTAGAGTTTGAGGCGGGTTCTCAGTCCGTTGAAACCCATATTTAATATTTATTTGTAACTTTATGAAAAAATTTTGTTTGTTGTAAAAAAACGATGAAATATTTTGTAAAGAAAAGAAAATTGGCTAGAATTGGCTTGGATCGCCTTTATGCCAGGCTCAACAAAAAATGCAGAATAAGTATCATTTCATATTTTTATTCAACTACAAAGCACGAGATAATACAAATAAAAAATCACAATTTACTATGTAGTTTGGACCCGCCTAACCAGAGTAGGTTGTTTTAATTGGTTGGCCCACTATAAACGAATGAGAATTGCAGATAAAAACAATGTACATTGTACATTTTAAACATAAGAATGATAATAAATCAGGTAAAAGGTAAGGAGGAGGTGAGGGAGTATAAAGAAAAGGGAGGATACTCAGCGTAAGGGTTGGAACAGAGGGTAACATAAGTTATTAGAATCATGTTTATGAACTACAGGGTGAAGAAGATAGTAAAGACTAAGTTTATCCACATGATACACAGTTTTTTTTTTTACAGATATAATTTGCATAACTATCTAAATAGATCTTGGCGACTTTTCTTTTGAACGATTTTGCAGATTTAGTTTCTTTAAGCTCTAATTCAATAGAATTCCATATTTTTGGAAATAAGGCAGAGGGAAAACTTTCTAGGGTNNAGTTCTTAACCACTCTTAAATCTGTCAAAATACAAAAGTGGAGACCAAGAGATATATTTCGAAGATCTTCATTTTTCGGTATCACAAATTGTGCATTCCTTGTTTTACAGATTATGCTTGCAGGCATTATTGTGTTGTCTGAAATCATTTATTGTGCAGTAAAATGGCTAAAATTCACTTCTGAAATCTTAATTTACGTTAACTTATATTTAAGTTAAATACAAATTCTAAGTCTGTGTTTGTAAACAAAGGGAGTCCAGTTTCTGTTGTACTGTACACTCCGTATACAGAACAATATATATACATATATATATATACATATTAATTTTGCATTACAGTAGACTAATCATTTATCAAATAATTAAAACATTTTCTGAATTACATTCATCGCCTTTTTAGAATTATCAAATGATTTGTAAACAACTTGATAATTGTACAATTCACAATATTTCTTTAATTTTGACAACAAACAAAACAAAGACTTTTATTTGAATAAAAAAATAGAGAGAAAATTTGTCTGTTTTTCTGTTTGTTTGTCCTATCATACCTCAGGAACCATTGGACTGATTTGCCTCAAACTTTGATGGGGGACCTCAGGAGAACCACGCAAATGTCTTAGTTTGATTTTGAGATTCTAAGTTGAGTGGGTCAACTTGTATAGGGAAAATTAGCTAAAACCGTAATATATGACATTGACCAAGCAGGGGTAAACGGCGGGAGTAACAGTAAGTACCCTGGGCAGCGCTGGGTTCCCAAGCTAGTTTGTTATAAATTTTTTAAAAATCACTGAGATATGTCGCTAATTAAAAACTGCCAATCTCTAATCTCCATGTGTTGCAAATATCAGCTTTCGAATGTTAATTTGTAATTCAAAGGACTTCAAGTGTAATTTTCTGTCTAAATTACAACAATGCAGTACCCTATAAAAAGCTTTGTGTGATCAGGTATGAATTAGAAATTTAAGTTCTTGTTTTGAAAAACTGTTTTTTTCCATTTGTGGATTCTCTGCAAAAGTGACTCGTGAATTACTAGCTTAAAAAAGACTGGAGAAAATATCAGAATCAACCACTGTTTGATTAAGAAATAACAAGCTTACCTTCCATATTTTTTATCTGATCAAGGTTTCAAGGGTAACGTTGTAAATCATGCAATCTGTGCATGTATGATGCCATTTGAAATTACACTTACAGTTCCTTTAACTGCGATCACTTTCGCACATAAATAACATGGGGAAAGGAACTAAGTTTTTGTCACAAATTCTACTTTTCTAATCTCTATATCTTTGCTACCCAATTGTCGTAGACCTTTGATATTTCAAACTATGAATTCTGTCAGACCAAATAATCTAAGTTTGAAATATCAAAGGTTTACATAATCAGATTGTAAAGATATAGGGATTAGACAATTTGAGTTTGCGACAAAAACTCAGTTCATTTAAATCAAAATTTTGAGCTGATACTTTGCAATCATCACCCGGATTAACCTACCCCACAATATATTTGATCCAATCATTTAAGTCCATGTATTGATTACAGGTAAAGAATTAAAAAAATCCTTAGTATAAAGTTTACTGAACAATGAAACTTCAGTTTAAACGTGGAAATTTAGGAAAATGTTGAAACTGTTCTGGATATTTCTATTTTTAATCCAATGCTCTAAAATTCGAGGAAGTAAGTATATATTAAAAATTAAAATTTCTTTCAAAACGCTAGTTTGTACAAATAAATTTCAATCCCATTAAAAATATTGATTCTTTTATTGTCTTTAATGAGTAAAATGTAAAGCAGTAACTATAGTTTGAAAACAGAGGGGGAAAAAGAAAAAATTGGGGAAAATTATTTACACATTGTTTACCCTTATAAAAAAAATGAATAATGGGAATAACGAAAACATGAAGCACCCATGCCCATAAAAGGACTGTAAACATATTTTCAAATAACCCGTCATCTGTAAAGTACAACAGTTAAAACGGTTTTTTTTATCAAGGATAAATGAAATAAAAAAATACATGTTCTCAAGCAGAAATTGATATTTTTCAATTTTGCCAATATGTATAAATACTCGAAGAGATAGAAAAATAACGACATTTTTCTCATCATTACACAAAAATAGTAAAAAGGGTAAGTGAAAACTCCGTTACCCTGGGTAACCTTGTAAATCAGACGTACGTATTACTTTGTAAATGAAGGGTCATTTGAAATTATGCCTATACTCTACTGCAGTCTCTTTTATACTGCGTCTGCAGAAATAGAGATCGACCCCCCTTCTCCTATAAAAGAACCGCAATACTTATAAGGACCATAAAACATGAGTGACATGATTAGAAATTAAAAGGCTTGTTGATGCGGCTTGATTATTTCATAGTTCTTTGTTGCTGAATTTTCACAATGCCTAATGCACAGTTGCTCAAAGGGGGTGGGGGTCCATGTTAAAAAAAGTTCTTGAACATTTAGGTTCCTTATTGTACTGTTTTAGAATGTGATAAACAATATAGAGGTTATTTTATGACCTTTACTTACGACGGAGACAGAGATGTAGATGATTCATATCGTGCAACATGCTATTCTGGATATTACTTCATGTGGAATGGTAAAGCATCTGATTCGAAAACTGCAACATGTATAAGGTCAGGGGGTGATGATATCTGGAAGTTCAGCGATGGCAGCACCAAATTGGGCAATTGTGAATCAGGCAATTATTCTCATCTTTTTATTTTGTAAGCAATCAAAAAAAGTGTATGTCTTAGTTGAGGTTCTGAAAAACTTTATCGCCTTAGAAACCAACCATTTCAAGGAAATGGTCAGTTTCTGGCTTGAAGAAAACAACTATTTTTGGAAATGGGCAGTTTCTGCATTAAAGAAACTGACCATTTTGGGTTAATTAAAATGATTGTTTATGAAAAAAATTTCACTAATCTGATTAATATGACAACTAATTAAGAAATTGTTCAGGAAGATTTAAGTTGATGATGTTTTCTTAAATTAGTTTTTTTTTATGGAGAGAAATAACCTTAATGGTTTCTAACCTCAAATTTTCTGTCAGAAAATGTATATTGTCTTAAAAAGATCATAAACAATAGTCAACAATCTTCAAAAAGATGCAAACTTTTTTTGTTTTTTACTTTTTCTTCGTCTTTTCTAGATACAGGCTTTGGGTTATCTACTTATTCAGATATGAATATCAAATTGTAGATTGATTTTTAATACTAACTTTATATCTAAAAAATATTCCACTCAATTGCCAAGAAAATTATTTTCTCTGTTTTTTAGTTTAGGTCAAAAGACATCATTGACAAATTCAAGATAGAACCAAAGTATTGAAAAGTTTATTTGTTTAAAAGCTTTTTTCCTAAACTGGATGCCTTAGCTTTTAACAACATACTTTTTCTGTTTATAGCGCCAGCATGTGATGATTCTTTGAGTCTAGGACGTCAGATGACTTCAGATTTTTCCTCTTCAAGAATACTTGTAGGCTCCGAGTTCACTGTCACCTGTAATACAGGATATAGATTCTTCAAAGGTTCAAGCGGATCCTATACCACCAGTACCACTAAAGTTGGTACCTGCAACAAAAAGTACTATGATGGTTGGTGGATTTATTACAAATGGGAATACGGTGGGAGTTCTGAAGTAGGAGATTGTGACCGTAATTATCCTTTATTAATAATACATAATTTTTTCATACCAGATTTTATGGTTCAAGAATTTAACCCTTTGAATTAAAAATGATTTAAATTGTATTTTTATTTCAATATATTTATCTTTATAATTTCTACAGCTATTAAATTCTGGTAATAACCTCCTTTTTTACAAATTTAGAAAATGCTTTCTGTCACTAATTTTAATCATTAACAGTAAAATCTAAAAATTACTATTAAAAGCATTTAAAAACCTTAAATGATCTAAATTTAAAAAATATCTCATCTTGATTGACATGAATTTGTTATAATAATGTAAAGTTTCTGATCAAAAATTAGATTTTTTTTAAAATCACTTTCCAAAACATTCTTTAAAAATTAAAGGGATTGTTCAATGTTCATCTAGTTGGAAATACTTAAATAAACCAAATAAGCCTTATGGCTACTTGGATTTCTTTCTCAGGGTCTGAATGATCTTATACAATTTCTGTAAAATAATATTTCTAATAATACTTATGTAATTTAGCTGAGAATTGTCCAACTCCAATACCACTTGGTCAGCAAATGACTTCTGATTTCTCTTCTACCCTGTTTGGAAGTGAGTTCACAGCAACCTGTAACGTTGGATATGCATTCTTCAGAAGTTCTGGTGGAAGTTCCTTTATAGCCTCAACTACTAAAACTGCCACTTGTAAATATAGTTCTCAAAACTCAAACACATATTGGTCTTACAATGATGGCACCCAGAGTTTGGATAACTGTCTAGGAAATATTTCGCTTTTTACAGAAATTAATTATCAGTAGGCATGTAATCTACAGTTTGTCCGTTACTGAATAATATTCAAATAACTAAAAGAAACCTGTATTTTCTGAATTTACATTTTTGTTTTTGACATGATGCTTTTTAAATATTTCAATTTGTACGCATTTTCTTTGAGGTCCTACATCATATCAATGTACAAAATAAGAGTTATTCATGATTCTATATGGTGTTGGATATTTGGTATGTAAGACATGAAAAATTGTTCTGGAATGATTTAAAGAACTGAGGGCTAGCAACAAAATTTTATTTTTCAATGCCTTTAAACTTTGATATAGGGGTGTAAGCACCATTAGAAAAATCTTAACGTTTTTTTAGAAATATAAAATCATTGAAAGCAGTAAATATAACAAAGATTTAGTTTGAAATTGTGTACAGGATGTTAAAGATACCTCTAATTTATTGCTAAATCGCATAAAATTGTGTTCATAATTTTGAACAAAACATTATTTTTTTCTGATTGCTTTTGGTATTTTGTTATTCCAAAAAAAATGCAAAGATTTTTTTAAACTTTAACAGAATATATAGGTTTTAATATCAAAGTTCTACATCATCAGATTGTATAGATATGGGGATTAGTAAACTATCCTTGCAGTGAGTGTTCAAATTTTTATTCCAGAAATGATAAAAACATTTCTCCTTGATTTGCTAGAATAATTTTCCGATTTTTAAATTTTATTTGATTTACTATGAAAAGTGATATATTTTAAGAATATTGTTCTGCTTCAATACCAGCAACACCTACACAATCTAGACTGACCTATTCTCTTGGGGAAGGAAAGAATATAGTGGGTCAAGTACTAACATACATCTGTGATACTGGGCATGAATTCAAAACAGCAGTTCCTGCAGGCTCTACCAGTCAAGGTCAGATATACAGAGCCTAAGTTCATCTTTAAAGTCATCTTATATCTTTAATTTATATATATAAAGTTGTAATCTCTTGTCTGTTTGTTTTCCTGATTATAGCTCAAGAACCCCTGAACTTATTTCCCTCAAATTTTGATTGGGAAACTTGGGAGAACCACGGAAATGTTCTCAGCTAGTTTTGAGATTCTAAGTTGAGTGGGTTGACTTTTATAGGGAAAATTAGTTAAAATGCAGCCAGAGTAACTGTTAGTACAGTGGTCAACTCTGGGTTCCCAAGCTTATTTATTATGTAACCATATCAATATTGTAATTTGTATATTTTTGTGAGAGTACAACAAACATTTCAGTTTTTGTTCACTTTCCGAGTGCAAACTAATGTTTAGGTTAGATCGATGGGCATCTAAATTTTACAAAAAGAGCAAAATTTGTTCTTGAACAAACTTCTGAAAATAAGATTATTATTTTTACCAAATAAACGTTTATTGGACAAACAATTTTACTGAACAAATAATTTAATTGAATTATTGTTCAGGCAGAATTAAAGGAAATAGATGGTAAATGACTAAATAAACTGGGTTGGTAATGAACAACAGATTGAACACCAACCTGCTCATCTCTAGTTTGATTGTTATTAATGAAAATAATTGATTTTTAGTGAAATATTTATCCCAATCAGTTAAAAAAGCCCCATAATTATCCCCCTCCTCCCCCCCCCACCTTCTTTAAGAATTTTGAAAATGTGTAATCTTTAAAATAAATACAACTTATTAATAGTTATCTTCAGTTTTTTAGATAAGTATCTAAATGTAGAATATCTATTATTTTAGATCCAGTCCTTACAAATGTGATTAAGTCTACCTGTACTAGTTCTGGAAGTGTCATCAGACAATGGGTTTTAGACTACAATCCATTACCAGGAACTTGCGAAAGTAAGAACTTTTTATCTGTATAAAAACTTTTAAAGTTACTTAATAAGGCAAAAATTCTTTAATATTTGTTTCAATAATTAGGAATAGTTTGTCCAAACCCTACAACTTTGTCATCTCCTGATGGAATACTGACTTTAGTCTCCAATAGCACAATAGTCAAATATGAAGATCAAGTCAGGTAATCAAAATAAAATCAAAAGATAATTTACTTTTTAAAAGTGGTTTTTATGGCAACACTATTTTTTTCAGCTGGGAATGTTCTAACAAAAGATTTTACATTAAAAAGAGCAGTGGAGGCCAGGCATCAGCGTCAAAATCATTTAAATGTAAAAGTGATAAAACATATTCTGAAGACATAAGCCAATATGAATGTGTACCAAACTTTTGTGAACCATTAGAACCAGAACAGAGTCTCAACTTTTCATACTCATGGGATAAACAGTACATAGCCATTGGTTCTGAATTTACGTACAGCTGTAAGAGCGGATATGCTTTAGAGAGTGATGTAGACAGTAAAACTAAAGCAGATGATGCTATTCAAGTCACATGTGAAAATGATGGAGAATTTGGATATCCTGCGCCTTGGCCACAGTGTTATGATAGAGTTTCCTGTGGATCTCCTCCCATTACACCAACTAATGGAACAAGAGAATGGATACAAAGAGCTGAGAATGATACCATGTATGAAGCTAAAATTAATTATACTTGTAAACTGGGATCCCAGTTTGACAGAGATGGGGATGGATTTGGAGACACTCCATCCATACAAACTGAATGTCTTTGGAAGAAATCCTGGTCTCCTTCTGTGCCCAGCTGCAAAGTCACTCATTGCCTTGAACCTGCAACCCCTAATTCATCACTCAATGTAAACTTTTCCTGGGATGAAGAATTGGTTCCAATTGGAAACAGTTATACATACTATTGTTATTCTGATATGGCAATTGAAAGTTTTACCAATAAAAAATCAGAAGCATTAAACTACTTTAACGTAAACTGTGATCCAAGCGGGGAATATGAATATCCATTATACTGGCCACAGTGCTCTGCAACAATTCTATGTAAATCCCTTCCAAATGCTACCATTGATGGTACAAGAGTGTGGGTCAAGGGTGCAGATGGTGATAAATCATATGAGTCTAAGGTGGAATATTTTTGTACAAGGGGATCTCAATTTGACACAGATGAAGATGGATTCGGGGACAGTTTATCTATAGTTAATGAGTGTCTCTGGAAAAAAGAATGGAGCCCATGGTCAGTACTTCCGCTTTGTAAAATAACTCACTGTTTGGAGCCACTAACACCAGAGTTGTCCTTAAACTTCAACTTTTCTTGGGGTAATGATATGGTAGCTGTGGGGGATAATGTTACTTACAACTGTCAAATAGATATGACTCTTGAAGCAAACACAACCTTAAAATCAGAATCAGTTACGATGATTAATGCTAGCTGTAATTCAGATGGAACCTATTCCTATCCTCTGACATGGCCACAATGTTCAGAAACTATATCTTGCGGTACACCACCTTCTGTTCCAGTTAATGGCTCTCAGATCTGGATTAATGGGACTGAACCAAATGATACTTATGATACTGGTATTCTTTATAAATGTGTAAAAGGCTCTAAATTTGATACTGATGGTGATGGAATCGGGGACAGTGATAATGTAACAATTAATTGTCAATGGAGAAAAACCTGGAGTCCATGGCCTGTCCTTCCTAAATGTATTATAACCCATTGTGTTGATTCTTTTCCCATACCTGAAGATTCCAATTTAGAGGAGGCTAAAACTGGTTGGGTTCCTATTAACACACTAAAGTGGTACCAGTGTTCAGGAAAACTTCTGAATGGATCCCATACAAAATTTTTTGAGTCTGATAGATCTAAAACATCATTTTCTATGTTATGCCTGTCAAATGGATCCTTTCAATTTGTTAACTCAAGACAAAACTGGCCAACCTGTTTAAGTACAGTTTATTGCGGACAACCCCCAAATGCATCAGAAAATGGGGTTAGAACTTGGATGAATGGTATAGAGTTTAAAGAATCTTATGGTACAAAAGTCTCATACCAATGTGTCAAAGGTTCTCAGTTTGATACTAACAGAGATGGAAAGGGAGACAGCCTTTCTATCGAAACAGAATGCATGTGGAATAAAGCTTGGACACCTTGGTCAACTCTACCAAAGTGTGTTATAACACATTGTGTTAATCCTTTTAAAATACCTTTAAACACATCTTTAGAGGAATCAACTTCGGCTTGGACAGAAATAAATAGAAATAAAGAGTATAGATGTTCAAGAATGAAAAATGGCATGCACACACAATTTTTTGAGAATGATCGTTTCAAATCCTCTTTTTCAATGCGATGTTTAGAAAACGGAACATTTGATTTTGTTAATGATACTGAACACTGGCCTATGTGTCTGGAAGGTAGATTTCAAAAGTCATTTTGATAAAATTATTTTGAAATGAATATTTAATCATATAGATCCTTTTTTAAGATATTGAATGTGAAAAACTTCCACCATCAATTCCTACTGATCCTGAATACCTGGATCCTAAAGATGATGGAAAAGTAATCATAAATAAGTTGAACTACCCAACAGGAAATGCACAGAATTTAGTATTCACTTCTGAAAGAAATAACACAGAGATTGCAAGAAACTACATGGCAAATTTAACGTAAGTATCCCCAAGATTAATAACCATGGTTATTTTATGATTTCTGTTATATCTAGGTATTATTGTGGAGCTGCTAGAAATTTCAAAGACAAAAATGGTGTTCATCATGATATCCATAAAATGACTTGTCTCTGGGATAGAAACTGGACTGCAATCAATGTTCTGGACCCATGTGACTGGATTCAGTGCTTAAAACCTCCAATTCCACCAAGCTTTACAAACTTAAGGGTTACTGATTGGGATGGTAAACCAATCAATTTTGGAGATAAAATCACATATGTGTGTGAAAAAGGATATCAGTTTGAAGATGACCAGAATCAGGTTAGCATATCATATCAATGTCAAGATGGAGTAAGACCAGAAACAACCCGTGGGTTCTTTAACACCCCAGCAGCTGATGATCAGTGGCCTATGTGTACAAAAGGTGATGAAAGCCACACTGTATTTTCACCAGCCAAAACCAAACTACATTTCTTTCTTTTAAAAGAATATAAGCATTTTAAGTCATGCTGTATAACATGTACTCTTTATAAACATACACTTATCTCCCTGAAAGAAAAATAAATCATCTAACAAGGATTTTTGTATTAAGAAATACTTATAAGAAGTTGGATTTTGGATTATGGAAACACAATGCACAGACATGTGATAGAAAACTTATGTTTGTAATTCTCTATTTGTTAGGTCCATTATGCAACTTTCCTCCAAATCCACCGTTTGAGGGTACACTTGAAAATATTCCAATCATATTTCCAAAAGAAGCTGAAGAGGCCTGTGACATCGATGGCAATCGAGTTGACATTAAATGTCCTTCCTTCCTGAATATTTATATAACCTCGGGTTATTATGGAAGACTTAAAGGAAGTACTGTCCTTTGTAATGGAAATAAAGATTCAGTATCAATAACAGAAGACTGTTTAAATCTGCAGGTACAAGTACAACCTTATGACCCCCATCCCCCCGCCCCCCCCTCTTTTTTCATATGAACAGAGTTACATATTCTTGTTTTAGATTGTTGATTCATCAAGAACAACTTGTATTTCTAAGTATAATTGTACAATCCCTGTTGATACCACAATTCAAACCTGGAAACCACCTTGTGACAAGAAACAGAAGAATCAGTTGATGCTAAATTATGTTTGTGGTAAGTATTAAGTTAATCAAATCTATGTTAGTTTGAAAACATACTTTTCTAGTTCGATGCAGGGATTGGGATATTCATGTTGTGGATCAAAATTGTATTTCCAAAGCATTGATATTAAATTTGTGGAGAACTACAGCAGATCTTATGAATGTAGCTCAAGAGGACATGAAAACTATTCTCATAGAAGAGCTTAGCAAACATCTGGACAATAAAGAACACTCTTTACAAGATTTGAGTGACAGGTCAATCATAATTCATATTTTATCAAAAATAATACTTTTTTAAAAATCTAAAATATACAGGGATGTAAGTAAGACTGATGGTTCTCTGTGTTCGCTGGCTTTTATGCATCTTGCTCTCATTGATTCAATCAAAACAGAAAGTCAAATGACAAATTTATCTTATGATACAATGAAGGAAACAATTGTCGAGGAAATAATGAAAGTAAGAAACTTAAATGGCTCAACTTATGATATCAACCAAAAGGATGAAGTTCATCTGAATAATTTTAAGCAAGGTAAAGATAAACTTGAAAACTTTTTTAACAAGTGAAAATTATTGAGATATAAATTGCAGATGTCGAAGGCTGCAATTAGCAAATGCGCATGTTTGCTAAAAATTTCATTATTATGACATTTTGCAATAAAGCTTTGTATCGACTTTTGAATGCAGTCAAAAGAAAGAAATATTTAGTTGTATGTGGTGACAACCCAGTTAAATCAGATTCAGTCGGCTCTATTCCAACTCTGAGTGCAGAAGATACTGAAGAAACAAGAGACATGAGAAAATATGGAGCAAATCTTAGGTAATACAATATTTACCTCTCAATTCTTTGAGATAATCATAATTTTTAATTCCCAGATATGAATGTGGTGTAGCCAGAAAATTTCAGAGTAAGGAAACTTCTAAAACCTATGATGAGAGATGGATGACCTGCAATTGGAATACAAGCTGGTCACCAATTGACACTCTAGATGAGTGTAAGTGGGTTCAATGCATTAATCCACCAAAGGTAATTTGCATGTTGGCAGTAAAGTAAGTAATAATTTAAAAAACTATCTCTATAAAACAAATTTAGAAAAATATTTAGTAAACCTTAATTGTCAAGTCAATAACTCTTTGTTTAATTATAGCCTCCTGTGGGAAGTGAGTTATCCTCTATGTGGGATGGAAATCCTGTTGAATTTAACTCTTGGGTCGGTTACAACTGCAAGAAGGGTTTATACTTTGAACTGAATCGAGATTTACGCCAGTGGAATATGACTTGTCTTCCAGGTGGTTATTGGCAAGTTCCCGAAGTCTGGCCTAGGTGCTTGGCAAGTAAGTTATTATAAAACAAAATTGAAAGTTATTACAGAACATTATTGAATTGAAATTAGTAGGACATGTTATATTTACTGGAAACTTTGAAAGCTTGTGTCTAGCCTTTGAGGAATTTTTATCAACATATTTTGTTTTTATCAAATTAATGAATCTTATGATTTTACCTACATGTGTTTTGTAGTATGGTTTGAGCTCAGGGTTTGATTATTAGTTGAAGTCAAAGTAAAATGATTTAGTAAGTGCATTGGTTGATTAGCAACTGTCAACCATTTTTATTAGCATACAAAATTAAAAGAGTATGATAATAAGCCTTGAATATTAAGGTGTGAACTGTACAGAACCACCTCCACGTCCCAATGCTGGAACCTGGGAGTGGAATCATTCATACAAATATAAAACCCAGATCCAGTATACTTGTGGACCTTATGGAAAGTTTAAAACTGCAAGTGGGATATTAAAGGCTTCAATCATAGCAGAATGTAACTGGAACAAAACCTGGACACCTGCTGCTTTGGATCCTTGTCAAGGTTACTAATTTTTTATTTGGATTCATAAATATCTTACAAAACATACCTAAAGCTGGAATATTGCAACAACGTTTATAACTGTTATAATTTTGACCAAACTTCAAATTTTATGTTCCAACAGCTACTAGGAAAGAAAAGCTTATGAATCTTTCTTGTATAACAGGTCCAACTTAAGTTAAACATGAAAAAATGAAGAATATTTGTATTTGCCAATATTTATATTCCTTGTATTTCAAGTCGGATCAAGGATCAGTAACGTTTCGTATAGTACATTTTCGTATAGTAACATTTTGTATAGGTCATTTTTGTATAGTACACTTTGTATAGGTAACATTTCATTTCACCTGGGGTATTTTTTTGTAAAAATGTAAAAAAACATCAAATATAGGCTATTTAATAAGCTTCTATACTTGTTTTTATCCATCAGATTTTGGGTATTCTTGATCAGGCAGGATGCCAAACTGTTCATTTAGGAAATAAATGTTACTTACAGTTCCTCCATTAGTTGACAATCTTTATGATAATTGTTGACAACTATAGGCACCCTTACCCTGACGAGTATACACACTTAGTAAGTCTTATCAGAGAGACATGGTTTTAAAAATGTTGTAATTTGGCAGATTTACTTCATTATGGTTAATAGATTTCTCTGCAAACTATCTCATTTCTCTTATGGATAAACATATACAAAATGTTACCTGTACAAAATGTTACCATGCAAAGTGTTATCTATACAATTTGTAACCTGTACGAAGTGTTACCTTTGCAAATGTTACCAAGACAAAATGTTACTTAGACAAAGTGTACTGAAAAAAATGTTACTATACAAAAATGTACTATACAAAATGTTCCTGATCCCTTTCCAACTTTATGAATATTTGAAGTAAATAGATCTAAAAAAAGGATTGATTTTTAATAATTTATAGTGATTACTGTTTGGAATTTCTCATTAAAGACATAAAGATTGATATTGACTGGTTTAGGATCATATTAGAGATTGATTGTCAATTAGACCGTTACAAATACCACTCACAAACTATTAATCAAATCAAAACTAATATTAGACATACTTAAAGATCATGCGTGACCTGTCAAAAGCAGAACAGAATGTAAATTACATTAAAATTAGAAATAGTTTTACAGCACAAACTAAAACATTAATACAGCTTTTTGTATCAGAGTATGAAGTGGTTAAAATTACATTACAGTTTCTTTTGTAGTTTTGAAATATAAGGTTTATTACTTTGAAATTTAAGCACCAAATTTAATTTTCAGCCTCCTAGCAAATACTTTTAACCATCAATTGTTAAATATTGAATTCTTTTGAAAATATTGTGAAGATTTAGATATTTTTTAATAATGACATATCTATTTAATATACTTATAATATAAATAATATTAAGTTTAAGATTGGAAATCCATGAAAATAGAATTTAATAAATGAACTAGCAGTGGATGAGAAAGAATTCAAACTACATATTTTTAAGTATTATTGAGGCTGTCTGCTTTAATTCCTTGAAATAATATAGACGTTTTATAGCAGTTTTTGAAACATAATTTAACATAGAATTTAGAAGACAATATTGAATGAAACTTTTGATGCCCTTTAAAATCTTTATCTTAAGATCAAAAACCTTTATCTGTCTGTTTGTCTGTCTGTTTGTTTGTTTGTATCCAATAACGTCAAAACGGCTGAACCGATCGGGCCCAAATTTTTTGTGGGACATCAAGTGACCACAGGGAAGGTTTATGAATGATCAAAATTTCAAATATTTGTCTCCATCAAAATTCGATTTTCATTAAATTTTTGAAAATTTTGAAAATCCACAAATTTTTTTGTGAAAATCCGCGAATTATTCTTGTTTTGTTTCACGATGTACACAAAGAGAATATGTTCACAATTAATTTAGAAGATGGGCGCGAAGCGCCCTATGAGGCTAGTCTATATATAAATTTGGTTTGTCTGTCTGTTTGTCTGTTTGGGTGTCTGTTTGTTTGTTTGTATCCAATAAACGTCAAAACGGCTGAACCGATCGGGCCCAAATTTTTTGTGTGACATAACGTGAAGATGGGCGCGAAGCGCCCTCTAAGGCTAGTGTTACGAATTGTGTTTAAATTAGATTTGACGTAATTTCAAATTCTGAGATAAAATTAAAACTATAAGATATAAATTTCTTATACAATTTTACTGAAGTGTAAAGCAAAATAGCATTGCAATATACTGTTTTGTTTTGAGGAGAATGATTAATAACCATGACCTCTACCTAAATTAATGGTGATTGATTCCTTCTATCTATCAATATATCTATATACATCTATATATTAATTTGGCTTGTCTGGGTGTCTGTTTGTTCAAATAAATGTCAAAACGGCTGAACCGATCGGGCCCAAATTTTTTAAGGGACATCACATGACCACAGAGAAGGTTTAAGAAAGATAAAAATTTTAAAAAAATGTGTTTCAAAGGTTTTTAATTTTGTAAAAAATTTAAATTCTTGAAAATCCGCCAATTTTTTTTTAAATCCGCTGAATTTTTTTCTTCTTTGTTTTAAAAAAGAACATGTTCACAATTTAAATAAAAGATGGGCGCGAAGCGCCCTAAAAGCCTAGTCTATATATACTTTGCTTATCTGTCTGTCTGTTAGTTTGTTTGTATCCAATAGACATAAAAGCAGCATAACCGATCAGGCCCAAATTTTGTGTGGGACCCAACATGGCCCCAGGGAAGGTTTTTAAATGTTCAAACATCAAAACAGCAAAATTTCATTTCCATTAGATTTTAAAAATCCATGATTTTTTTTTAAATATCTGCAAACATTTTTTGTTTTTGTTTTACAATGAATTTAAAGAGAAAAAATTCACAATTGAAATAGTTAAGATTGGACTCGAAGCGCCCTGAAAGCCTTGTGTTCTTTCTCACCATAAGAGTAAGGAAGCTATACTTACTACCTTACAGGCACGCAACTAGACATTTTGGTAATGAAGGACCAGGCAAGCACAACATTTATTTTTTGCCCACTCTGATCATTTCTAAATAGGGTGGACTTCTGCCCCCCCCCTGGTTGCGTGCCTGCTACCTTCTAAAATTTTTCAATACTTGGCTTTCCCATATTCTATTTCAATTGTGAACATTTTTTATTTGTGTACATTGTAAAACAAAAACAAAATAAGTTTGTAGATTTTATGGTGGTAAGGATTCTATCAATATAAGGAAGACTACTTTCGATTTCAATATTGATTTATATCAAGCTTTTTAACAGCATAATTACACAAAAATATGGAAACAAAGAGAAGCTGTCCATTAAAACAGATTCTCTTTGTTTACTGGTAAACTTGTAATTTGGAAAAAGCTTGTTAACAGTTAAACTTTAGTGGTGAGGTTCCAAACACAATTTGTGACCCTATCAGTTCAGCCGTTTTGACGTTTATTGGATACAAACAAACAAACAGACAAAATTACAAGCAAAGTATATAAATAGATTATCAAAAGTCAATGCTGCCATTAGAATGAACATAATTCAATGAGTGCTATGGATGCTGCCATTTTTCTTTTAAAGTGTATCACCGTGAATCATACATGTCACTTCACTATAAGCTCTCCTCTCTACAGCTCCTTATTAAATTACCTGTTTTCATATTTAGCGACCAGATGCCAAGATATTCCTGCCCCACCACGAAGCTCTGGACTAGTTTATAAGCCTGATCCTAATAACCCCCTCCCAAACACAGGTATTTGGATTTTAAGTATTGCTATGAAGTTGTCACACTTCATAGAAATAAATGGGCTTGTTGGCTAGTAACTTTAAGCAAGTTTTGATTTTTTTGGACATGTTAAATAATTTGCCAATAAAGAATAGCTCATAGTAGTTAATATTCATAGAGCCTTTACATTTTTCAAGGTGTTTGTCTGTATAGCCCTGATGTTCCAGCCAAGCTGCCATTTCCTGGAGAAAGCTTTTGTTCCAAAAATACTAAACTTATGCTAGTTGGATACATACCTAAGACAGTAAGACATGTACCAGCATTATTAGTTGCTTCTAATATGAGCAATGAAGGTATACATATCAACCTAAACTTGAAGAACCAGGTTATACAAAGATACAGTGTAACTAATGGAACTAAGTCCACTATTGATGGATTGCCTGGTGATGGAACCAGTATAGATTACGATGAACCGTTTGTTCTAAACCTCAGCTGTGATCAGGGAGAAGATTTAATGATTATTAAATTGGGAGAAATAGTTGAAATGCTTACATTATTCTTACTTTAATGATTTGTCTCATTTTACAGTCTGTCTGTATATACTACTGTACACCATGTTCTAGCAGCCTTACAATTTTAAATGAACTGGATTTTTTAGTGCATAAGTTAAACTAGACATAGTTGAATCACTTCTCCTCAAATTGAACAAGCAAACAAGAGAAGTGGTCCATCTAAGTCTACGAGGTTCCCTTAATTCTGACTATGAATTAAATCTTGGTCTCAGGATGGATGGAATCTGCAAATTAACAATGAGCCAAGTTATCTTACTGTTTTTCATGCTATGCCAGTGGATAACCTCACAGAGATCAGGGTAACTGGGGATATTGTTGTCAACTACATTGGGATTGGAGATAAAGGTAAGACTACAGTACAACTGAAAATATTCCTACTTGGGTTCCCATTTGCAATAAGATGCAAATAGTACAAAGTTGGGTGGTTAACTTATGTGTACTAAGTTTAAATCAAATCAGTATGACAAAAAAAAGGTTCTGTGACCCTTCTGTTTTAGGTATTGAGCTTTATTACCAATTTTGCCCTGAATATTAAAATTTATAAAGTAATTAGTTAAGTGAAATTTCAGAAAAGGTGGTTTTATGATAATTAACATATAAGCCTATTTCAGAATTTAATTATTGAACTATTTAACTATTTAACTACAGTAAAACCTTTAATAGCGAATACATCGAAAGAATTCATCAAATGTCGTCATCTTCACTTTCTGATAATGGAATGTTGCAGATATTTAGTTTTTTAATTAAATGATTATATGGAACTCTTTAAAATTGTTCCCACATATTCATGGCTATTTATTTATTTTCGCAAATACTAAAATTTACGCAATATAGTATAAAACTCATTAAAAAAGTGTCAAGACGACATTTGATAAATTCTTCCGATGTATTTGTTATTAAGGGTTTCACTGTATTTAACTAGTTATTTAACTATTTGAAAAGAAAGCTTGTTTAGTTTTGTTTAAATCAATTGGTATCCATATTTATCTTAGTAGTTAGTTAGTATGTAGCATTCAAGTTTTCTCTGTAGTCTGGATAATCTTAAGTACTAAATTTAAAAAAGTAATAAAAACATACTTGATTGAGAATACATGATGCTTTGACTGAAAAACTTAAAATAGACATTTTGTATATCAAAAAGGATTACCAAAAACTGTTCTAAAGCAAATGTCAATTCCTTTCGTTATAATCCGGCAAACATCATTGATACATTTCTACTAAAGGTCAAGATCCAGCGCCCCCTGTTGGGTTTAACCTAACCTATGTCTGTCCAGAGGGGCAAGTATTTGACAGTGATTGGTATGCTACACCATTCGTTATGATGACATGTCAGGTATACAACTTCTTAGATAGAACCTGTTAAAAATTTTTTTTAACAATTTATTGAGGATGTAAAAATTTGTAAGACATTCTGTTTTTAGTTTCGAACAACGTTTTCTTAATTTCAAAATATTCTTTGCGGTTTGATGCTTATTATTTCTTCTAATATCTCTTATACTGACTTAAAAACCCAGCTTTCCCTGGACTATCTCCTCAAAAGTCAACCCCACACAATCCGGAATTTTTAGACCAAAATAAGAATAGTTTCGCGGTTCTATCCAGTTCCACAATCAAATTTTGAGGCAAATCGGTTAAGGGATGTCTGACTTTTGTTCGGACAACAAACAAAGAGAGATTACTGTACAGTATACATTATGTATATTATATACATTATATTAAATTGTATATTTTTTCTAATTTGTTTTTCCAAGAATTTTTTCTTGTACACATAAATTAAAAATTTCTTTCATGTCTACATAGATCTATTTATATTATCAAATATGTATGTAAAAAGGGATCGAAGAATTAATCTAGATTCTTTTCCTAAAAAGTAAAAGGGTGCAGCAATTTTAGAACTGAATTTAAAGGGAGTGTTCGCGAAAGGGGTAAAGGCATATGGCGAAAAATTTGCGCTTTTGATCGCTGCTAATCTTACTTCTATCTGTTGCGTCTATAAGGAGAAAATTGTTAAAAACCACTTATGCTTAATAACGTCATCCACCCAAATTGAGAAAGTTGCAATCCATGATTTAATTTCCAACAAATCATTCAGATATTACAAACTATATCCATCGATTATTTTTCGCCACATTTGTATGGAGTTCATTTTTCATAATAGTTTTTACTTGTTTTATATACAATGCACTGAAAACAACAATTTTTGTCTGTTAGGTGTCTCTGCCACGTGGAATTATTAAGAGCACCTAAAGCAGATATACCTGGCGGACAAACTAATCGGCGTTTTAAGTTTTAAGTGCATTGTATAAAAAAACAAAACAAAATAATATGAAATATTAACTATATACGAATGTGTAGAAAAATAATTGATGACTGTAGGCTTTAATTTCTAAATGATTTGTTTGATATTAAATTGATTTTATTTACGATCCAAGTCATGGATTGCAACTTTCTCAATTTGGGTGGATGCTACAATATTCGGTACAAGTCGTTTTTAACAATTTTCTCCTTAAAGACGCAACAAATAGAAGTAAGATTAGTTGCGATCAAAAGCGCTTATTTTTCGCCGTATGCCTATACCCCCTTTCATTTTCTTGCTTTATACTATCTTCTATATACGAGAGTTATAATCTCTGTTTGTCTGGTGATTGTTTGTCTCAGGAACCCCTGGGCCGATTTGCCTCAAATTTTTTATTGGGGAACTCGGGACTCGATTTCCCGGTAAAATCGTTCAAGTGCGGGTAAACAGCGGAGTAACTTTTAGAAGCTCGACAGCGCTGGGTTAACAAGCTAGTGTATATATAAAGTTGTAATCTCTGATTGACGATCTAGTACGGGTAAATGGTAGGAGTAACTATGAGTAACCCGGGTAACGATAATATGAGAAAATTTGTATATCAGCTTCCTTTCAATAAAACCAATAAAACCTTAAACTTTCGGAGAAATGCTTTCATAAAAATGATGAAAAAGTTTCTATTTTCTAGAATTTTTTTTCTTCTTCGAGCTTTTCTATAAAACTTTTTTTAAAAAAGGAAGTTAAATCAAAGTAGCTAAACTATTTGTTAATGATTAACCATGACAAACTCTGATTTTCTGATCTTTATATCTTTGCAACCCGATATTGTATACATTTGAGATTTCAAACTATTAATTCTGTCAGATCAAATAGTCTAAATTTGAAATATCAAAGGCTATCAAAATCAGGGATTTGAAAAAAACTCAAGAACTCAGTTCCATTGACTGATTTTATGCCAAATTATTTCAAAGAATTCATATTATCAAATGGGAAATTTAGAGAAGAATTTGTTTACTTATGTTTTACATTACTACATACAGCAGAGAAAGAGTTGTTTTGGGTTCTATAGTTTAATTCTGCATCTGGATATAATATATATTGTTTTTGTATAAATATCTATCTTGGGCTTGGAACTTTCCTCATTACCGGGAAATATTATCAATTTTAACGAGTCATAAACTTTCCCTGGGGTTTTATGGGGTCAAAAATATGGCCTTATCAGTTCAGTCGTTTTGTTCTTTAGAGGGTTCAAACATACAATAAATCAGGAAGAAAAAATGTAAATGTAAGAAGTATGAATGCATATACTCAAGGTCTATAGGTGTCAGGGAATAGGAATAAAGGGAAAGGAAATGGCGCTGGTCTGGCATGAGAAAGCCACTCGCACTGCGTTGCAGACGAGTTCGGAATTCCTTACACACACTTTTTTGGTACAGACACACAACATGACTAGTCAAGGAAGCAGAACAATGTCGTCAATTATAATTAAACTTGAATAACGAGTAGTTTATTGTAAACTTTAATAAAATTATATTCTTTGCATGAAAATTTGGCTTTATAGTGTTGACTTAAATATGTAAATAATATATTACATGTTTATTAAACATATTTTTAAGTAACCAATTAACAATAAACAAATGTACTCTCCTAGACTGTACAAATACCGAGATTATTATGCACTGTATATACCATACAATATACAGTATACACACCTTCAGAGCCCATTCTCTCCATAGAAAGTGGTCGTGTATTTCACGTACTTTGGGGGACGATATGTTGACCGCTAGATGTCTCGTGCTAAATTCTTATCTGATAGATAGATATTTCTCCGTACATTTCACGACCAAAATAGGAGACGTCAAGTTGTCGACCAATGTAGTTTATGGAAGGAACGGCCTCAGTTCGGTATTCCTCTTTTGGTACAGACACACACACACATACATTTCCGCCCCCTGATAATTGTCCATAAATATAAATAGAAGTCAATATACAATTAGGGGTAAATTTGAGTAAGAAATATTGACCAACATAATTTGTAGACTGAATTGCTTTATAATCTTTCATTATTTATAATTCATGTTAATTGTTGATAGAGGGGCATTCTTTAGTTATTTTTAACTTCAGTGATTGAAGGTAGTTTTTTTTTTTGGGGGGGGGGGGGTTAGTTTTATATTTGTTGAAAAAAATGCCTTTAAGAAACCCTTGAATGTATATTCTATAAAAAATCCTAAAATTTTTGATATATTATTTTGATGTTTATGCTTATTTTCAAAAATGGATTGATGGTTTTTAAAAGTTATTAACGACCTATGATATCTTAAAAGACTGTAAAGTATACTTTTTGGTAAATTATGATTACTTAAAATTCTACTTTATAAGGAAGTTCAGGGAATTTTACTTCACCAAGAGTTTCCAAGACCAATTTTGCCTTCAAAACATCCAGAGCACAGTAACGTTGAGGGAATCATAGGTTGGTAATGTTGGTGAAACTGAAAGGGCTGTAATTTTTTACTGAACCAGGGGTTCCATCGACTAATTTTTCTCGCAAGATTGGTCCTGGGAACCCTTATATGGTTAAGTCCATCCTATTACAACATCAGTGTAAAGTAATCATTATGCTATGTTACATGACCTGTTTATTATTAAAAAATTTCTGTTCAAAATCTGTATGATACTTCGAACCAAAATAATAGTATGACATGAATTAAAAACGATGATTTGAATCAACAAAAATACATTATCTTAGAAACCATCTTCATTCTTCATGTAAACACTGCAGCTTATATATAAACAACGTATCAATTCTAGATTGACAGCTCCTAGACCCCTCTCCCCCCCGCACACAATTTTCTTTCTCGGTCAGTTTATTTTTCCTTACACATTCATAAATCATATTTTATCAGTATTAATTAACTCTCGAAACCTCTACTTTTTCTATACTCGCAAATTATAATATTGAATTTTAATATTCTAGGATTTATAGTTATAGTTATAGTATTTATTTTCAAACACAAAATACAAAATAATAATGTATGATGGTTCAGCTTAAAATAAAACACGATAAGAAAATTTATTATGAGCCAATTCAAAATATAATGTTTGATAATTTTGTTTGATCGTTTTTGTTGAAACAAAGTATACATATTGAAATCTCAACTGAATATACATTCATTGTGCATTTACAAGTAGATTACTAGTCAGCACTTAAATAATCAAAACATTTTCAGGAATGCATTCATTGAACTTATAAATACATATTGATTCAGCAAAAGTAGAAATTATTCTCGTTGACTGTAGTAGACTTGACATCTACCATTAGCAAAGGGTGTGAACCCATACTCATTGACTGTAGTAGACTTTGACATTCATCATTAGCAAAGGGTGTGAACCCACACTCGTTGACTGTAGTTGACTTTGCTATCTACCATTAGCAAAGGGTGTAAACCCATTCTTGTTGACTGTAGCAGACTTTGACATCTACCATTAGCAAAGGGTGTAAACCCATTCTTGTTGACTGTAGTAGATTTTGACATCTACCATTAGCAAAGGGTGTAAACCCATTCTTGTTTACTGTAGTAGACTTTGACATCCACCACTAGCAAAGGGTGTGAACCCATACTCATTGACTGTAGTAGATTTGACTTTGACATCCACCATTAGCAAAGGGTGTGAACCCATTCTTGTTGACTGTAGCAGACTTTGACATCTACCATTGACAGTATAAAGGTTATATAAGGGTTGCGGCCCTAGTCCTGAAAATATTCTGCAAGCATTTTGCATGCTTTCTCTTAGAGAGAGGAGGTGTTGACACCTCAACTGCTTTCTACTAACTTAGTTCACGTATTTATCTGGGCTGAGTGCTGCAAGGCCCTGTCTGGGCCGAGCTCTGTCACATTAGTTCAAAAGTAGCACGTTTCGATTTCGAACCAGTTCTTAGAGTATTGGTCTATTCTCTATTCTTTATGCGTTTTGTGCAACAGAAATAGATGGGCTGATTTACAGTGCTTTGGTCATGCATCTCTCAGGGCCGAGTGCTGTGTCAATCCGTTTGTACCAAGCGCTGTAACTATAGGGCTAGAATGGGCTAGGTTAGATTTAGGTTAAGGTTTGATAGGGTAGGATGATAAAGGCTATGTTTTTTTTTGTGGAATATGATCTGTTTTATACTACAAATGTTATACAAAATTGCATATATATAAATTTTCGTATAAATTTGACACAGTTTTATATCAATTTCTCGACACAGGAACATCAGATAGATGTCTTATATGTATCGTTCAACGCCTGAGATTCTCAGGTTTCATCCTATACCCCCTTTCATTTTTCCTTTACAGTCCCTTTCAGATACGTGGAATATACATATGCTATTGAGTACAAAGGATTAATATATGTTTATATTTATAAAACAACTATTACCAACTATCTAGATATATTCAATTCCATGGCCATAATATCAAGTTAAATGTCACTTGCAAAAAAAAATTTAATTTCCCGCTTTTAGGCAGATGGTGTATTTGAACCGATAGACTGGTCGCATTATCAATGTGTTTTACGTAAGTTTTTAAATTTTAAATTCAGACTTTCAAGTCGACTGCAGCGAGCTTTTTCACCTTTTACATGTCATTTATTTACATTAAAAATTTGGATTTCAAAATGTCTCTTAATATTTTATTATTATTCATTTATTGTTTCAATTTAAATGCAAATTTTGAGAGAAAAATTAATTGTATGTAAATTGTAAACCCTTTAAAATAAACCAGTATGATAAATTATTGAAATCTCTTCTTAGAAACAAAACAAAAAATTTTCATAAGAAAGTCTAAGATCTAAAAGAGAGTGCTTACGAAAAATAACTGCCGGGGTACGGGCTTACGGCAAAAAATTATCGATGATGATCACTACTAATCTTACTTTCATCTGTACGTCAATAAGGAGAAAATTGTTAGAAACGGCACTTACCTAAAAACGTAGCGTCCACAAAAATTCAGAAAGTTGCAACATACGACTCGGATAGTAATGCATCAATTGGATTCAAAACAAATCATTCTGATATTCCAACCTATTATCATTGATAATTTTTCGACGCATTTGTATAGTGTATAAATTTCATATTATGCGCGCTTAAAACGACGATTTTTTCCGTTAGACAGGACAGAAAACACCTGGCGGTCAACTAATTGGCGTTTCAAGTGCATTTTATAGAAGAAATAAAACGTTTTAGGAAATATTAACTTTATACGAATGCGCCGAAAAATAATTGACGATTAAAAGATTTTTAGATTATTTTATATCTTTGTAACATTTTTTATTATTTCATTTATTTAGCAACAACTACTGAGTGTTATGATTGCACAACTACAAGTAAGCATTTTAATAATTTAAAATTATTCAAAAAAGGTTAAATTCATTTCATGGCATAAAAAAATTCTTCGTATTTTATTTCTAAAAACATGGTTAACGTTACGTAACGTGACGTAAGTTCGTAACAGAACATATCGTAACGTTAATCGAAACAAGATAATTTTATTCGTAAAAAAGAACAAATCGAAAGCATTTCAAATGTTTAGTTTCGAAATTATGATCAGAATATTATGGATATAAAATTATGTGAGATATCAATGACATTCTGTTTATAATTTAGAAATGCTTTTGGTTCCTCTTTCGGTTAGAAGCAAGTTAAAACCAATTGATATGTATATCCTAAATTTTTAACGCTTAATGGGCGCCTCGCGCAAATTTTAAAAAAATGATTTTGGTTTTGATTCTCAAATTGCTTTTTTTCTTTAGAAATCATAAATTTTCTCTTTAAGTTAGTAGATTTTCAAAAATAATAAATGTTAACATTTTTTTGTAACATTTATTAACTTTGATCAGCCTTTATCCTTCCCTGGGTTGCCTCAAAAAATTTAAATCCGAAATAGACCGACAAGCAAAATGTATAAAAAGATAAAAGTACAATGTGACCCATACAACTCTGGAATAGTATAAGACTAAATGTAAGCAATTTTATGCGCATTTGCCGTTATATAGCAAATAGTTTTACAAATACCTTGATAATGAACTGTGAAATCTAGATCTATGGCACAATTGCTATTACTGCGCTCAAGATATGCACTAATATTATGCACTAAAATCATAAATTGAGTCATCCTTCTATTCCAAAGTTTGCTGAGGAACACTGTAATAAATGTTATTAAATCTTTTTGTCCATTTTCATATAAACGTTAAATGTTGGCCTAGCAGAAACCGCTTTGATTTCTGAACTTCATGTCCATCAAATTTTATTTAAAGAAAAATGGAAATTATTTTAAAATTTTTATTTTGTTTTTTATTTCTATTTATGTTAAATATACCTATAGCATAAACCTTTTCGAAATTTTAATTAATAGCGTCAACAAGTTCTCAATGTTTGTTTTATTATAAAATAAACAAAACTCTTGAAAGATTATAATCAGCAGGAACATATTTTTAATTATTTACAATGGAAACTAGAAAAAAATGAAATTATTGTGATCTTTTTTTGGTTTGTAAAATCAAAAAGTATCACCACATTAATTTCATATAACTTTATTTATTAAAAAAGGATATTAAATTATAATCATATTATAGGTAACTTGCCACAAACTTTCATTTTCTAATTCCTATATCTTTGCAATCCATGATGTCGTAACTATGATTTCTGTTAGATGAAATCAAAAATCAAAAGGTTACATGATTAGATATTAAATCTATAGGGATTAGACAATTTTAGTTTGTAGCAAAGACTCGATTCCTTTGTACTCAATTTTTGACATTCATGTGATATTTACAGAAAAGAAGGAAACACTTAATAAAACATTATCTAATTAAATGGTATCCAGTATCCACATAAACTTCTTAAACTGTTTTGCATACAGTGTGTCCCAAAGAATATGCCAGTTAATAGAAATCACGAAAATTGTCCTTGAATTTAGAAACAATATGCGGTATTCATTTTACAACTTTTAAATGATTCTAAAAAAACACAATTATTTTATTGTATACAAAAAGGCAGACCAAACTTCGGTAATGGCAGGACCAGGGTATATCTTGTGATTATTACTTTTACTTCGAAAATTAGGCAACTTGATACAAAGACCATATTCAAGTTGTCTCTCGACTGTCATGCTTTTTGGGACACCCTGTACATTTGCATTATATTGTTATATGATATATTAGTTTTTTAGAATAAATTTTGTTGCTATTTTTTGTTCAATGAAAGATAGAAAAAAAACAAGAAACGAAAAGTTTTCAATTTCCAAAAAATAAATAGATCCAAAAAAAATATGTTTAGTCCCACTATTTTAATTTATTTTACGACAGCATCGTAACATCATTGAAAAAATTTAAGGAGAACTTTTTTCGGTCCGGTCACAACTTAAAATTTGTATCCCCATAATTTTGTTTCTCCCAAAACACACTTCTGTTTACTATATATTGTTTCATTATAAAATCGGTATTTAAAATTTTTTTTTTTTTAAATGCATATTTGTATACATAGTATGTCAATGTTATGTTTTTTTTCTTATTTTTACGTTTATACCTCTAGTATAATAACTTTGGAGACAATACATTGTTTTTTTCATTGCGTTTTATTAAATAATTGTATATTTTTACTTTTTCTCTGGAAAGGATAATTACAGATTTCCCGACGGCCACAGAGAGATTTCATGTGCTTAGAGAGAATATAAACTTTTTTTTTAAACTATAGTGTATTTCCACCTGTCACAACAGAACTATAAGTATTTCTGATAAAAAGGCAGTTTAACATTCATGTTGGATGATTTATTTCTTTATAAGGAAGTTAAGCACAGCTAGGTTTGAATGAAAAGAAAGTTGGAGAAACGTCCCCTTCTTGAAAAATCATGGGGAAATCCCCCCCTGAAAAAAATTTAGGGTACAAAAAGAGTTGTGGAAGAAATCATCATCATTGCAGTACTATTGGAAATAACCTTGGACCTCTCGTTAGAGACCCACAGGTTCGCGTTGGAGACCATATGTTCACTAGAGATTCAATATTTTCATTGGAGACCCCCAATTTTTTATTGTAGACCAATATTTTCATTAAAGTCACTATGTTTTCATTGGAGACCCCCAGATTCACGTTGATGACCCCCAAAGTTTCAATGGAGACCCCGGATGCCGGTCTCCAATGAAATATGGGGGTCTCCAACGAGACGTCATTTCTTCCCAGACTCGCACGCATCAATAGCTGAAGGGGGGGTGGGGGTGAAATAGTCCCTTTTTATTTGATTTTTAGCAATAGATTTTGAAGAAACTTCCCTGTAACGCAAAATTTTAGTTATTTTTTAAAAGTTTTCTTTCAGAACAAATTTCAAAAGTGCACCCATGTCAAGATTTTGAAAAAGACAACATGCATAAACCTTTCTTGGTTTTCTCTACATCATACTTTCCTCCTGTATTTTTCTTTTTTGTAGAGAACACTCAGCTGGGAACTTTAGAATGGTAGATATCGGGATTAATGCTTGATCCACTCTTATTCTTAATCTCCAGATTAAATATTGCTTGTTCTCCTCACGCAGATATTAATCTCCAGATTAATTAACAGATCGGGATCAAGGATATCCCATTCTAAAGTTCCCAGCTCTGAATAGAATAACATTCTGGAAGGAAAGGCTTAAAGAGAGAAAACTAAGATAGGTTTACCATTGTCGTCTTCTACAGCACAGAATAAGATGAAAGTAAATTATTTGAAGACAAGGTTAAAAGAGAAAGAAACCAATTAGGGAGGTAAATACTATAATCAAAGGGAGCTAATTATCAATGGAGTCTTCTGCAGAACAGAATAAGAGGGAAACTGAATAAGAAGGATGCAGAATAAGGTGGATAAAAAGGATAAAAGAGAAAAAGAAGTGAATAGAAAGCGAATGTTAAATTAGCGTTATGTAAATGTGTAAATATCGTCTTCTATAATAATTGAATAAGAGGAAAGGGGTGGATGGAAAGGAAGAATTAAATAGAAAAGTTTTATTGAAACCAAGGATTGAAAAAAAGATAAAAAAGAGAATAAAAGGCAAAGGAATATTACCGTAACTAAACATGTAACCTTCAATAGCTTGTGCCTCAGGGTTATTGTGAACGAAACACACATAAATCTTTAAAACCCAAATCCAGTGTCTTATCTGTTATTTTAAAATAATCTATGGTCCCCATCTTAAATGTCGTACAGCAAATTTTCGGACAAATATCTTGTCGGGATACGTGTGTAAAATATCAGAACTGGCCGCACTGATTACATACATAAAAAACGTAAACATGTGCACCAAACAAATCGTCCTCTTCTAGGGATATTATTCTGACAGATACCAAACAAATGTCCTGGTAATTATAGATATTCTTTATATTAAATGTTTTTTGAAAATTCTTGTTCAAGTATTTACCTAACTTTGATTTGCTTACTACAAGATATATTCTTTCTGTTAAAGGGAGTGTTCGCGTAAAATGAAAGGGGTATAGGCTTACGGCAAAAAATAAGCGCTTTTGATCGCTACTAATCTTGTTTCTATCTGTTGCGTCTATAAGGAGAAAATTGTTAAAACGACTCAAGCTGAAGAATGTAGCGTCTATATACAAATTCAGAAAGATGCAATATACGGCTCGGATCGTAAAATAATCAATTTAATTCCAAACAAATCATTCAGATATTATACAGCCAATATCCACCAATTAATTTTTGACTCATTCTTAAAAAGATAATATTTCATAATATTTTTGATTTTTTTAAAAAATAATATTTCGCTGGCGCTTGATTTTCGAACATTCCTGGGAGACAACATTTTTAATCCCCCCCCCCCCCCCATTCTGACTGTAAATGCCCTCCCCTCTCCCGACTCATTTGGGAATTTTGTCAGTTATCAATTCATTACAGGGATTGGGAGAGGAGAAAATGTGTGCCCCTATTATTCAATTTTTAAATATTTTAAAAATAACTTATTTTGATTGATTAAGTGTCGCCAAAGGCATTTTTTTTAAAACAGCGCGAAAAAATCAAAATTAAGAAGAGGGTGGGGGGATCGTCACCTTTTAGCCGCATCTGAGTATCAACTTGCAATATGACATAATTTGTAATTTTTAACAACATTTTTTTCCTATCAGTAAAACCTCCACGCGCTTGATTCACAAAGAATGATTAATAAAAAATGAGGCAAATACCATTCACACAGTAATTTACTTTGTGGGTGCATTAAATATGTAGCAGCATGATACACACTGTACAATTCGTACAAACTACGTTTAGTAACCTGCTCAGTAAAACCTCCACGTGCTTGATTCACAAAGAATGATTAATAAAAAATGAGACAAATTTCTTTCACAAAATAATTTACTTTGTGAGTGCATTGAATATGTAGCAGCATCGTACACACTGTACAATTCGTACGAACAACTTTTAGTAACCTGCTGTACAACTAGGATCGACATAATTTTATATGATTTAAAGACATGACCATATTGACCAATTCACATCGGTTCACCTTACACCTGAATTACAAAATAAATCCGCAATGCACAGGCACTATCATAGAGAAACTGCAACAGAAAATCAATTTTCTAAAAGAAAAACAATGATATCTCCGTCACTTTTTGTCAGTTAATTGTTTTAAGAGTAATGTTCGAAAGCACGTATGAAATTCCGTTTACAGTCCTATTAAAATTATTTTATTTTTATTTTAAATATCCTGCTTTAAGGCCGATGGTGTGTTTGAACCAATAGACTGGGTAGTGGTCGGCTAGTATCAGTTTGTTTTACGTAAGTTTCTAAAATTTAAGTTTAGACTTTCAAGGACTATTTAAGATTTTTAATACTTCACTTTTTCGATTATTTCCATCAAACAAGGGGCGTGAATAAGGGGGGTTAAATATCATGATGTATATTAAATTATTGGTTTTAATTGGGTTTGATTTGCATTTTCCACTCATTTCTGGCATTTACAAACTCGCATCAAATAAAGTCTACATTTCATACTTTTCAGTTTTCAAGTTTCACCTTGTTTTATATCCTTCATTTTAGTTATTCATTTTACATTAACTACAAAGATCTGTAAAAAACTGAATTTATTTTAAGTGAGATGAAAAATAAAACTTTTACTCTAAGAGGAAAAAGATGTTACTTTTTTAAATCTTTTGTCGTCAATGTAGTATGTTAAGATCTGAAATAGATCTAATATGGAAATAACATTATTTAGAAGTAAAAATGTATTTTTCATTCCCCATACCCTTTTTTTTCTATTAAAACAACATTGATGAATTTTTAAATTGGGACTATCAAATTGAACATGTTTCCAATAAGATTGCTAGCTCAATATTTGCTCTGAATCAGATTAAAAACATTTTACCGTTAAACATTTGTCTACTAGTTTACAATGCACTTGTAAGGCCACATATTGAGTGTGGAATTATAACATGGGGCGTAAAAAATGCTAAACTACAGAAAAAAGGGCAATTAGAGCAGTAAATAATAGTTCATTTAAGGCACATTCAGATCCAATATTTTTCAGATTAGAACTCCTAAATCTTGATGATACATATAAACTAGGTGTTCTATCTTTTATGCATAAATACTTTTATGAAAACCTTCCAGCTTCCTTCCAGGATATGTTTAATTCTTTAGATGAACCAAATAGAACAAAATCATATAAACTTGAACGGGTTCTCTTTAAAACTCTAGAATGTTTTCCCTCTGCTTTATTTCCAAAAATATGGAATTCGATTGAATTAGAGCTGAAAGAAACTTAATCTGCAAAATCGTTTAAAAGAAAAGTCGCCAAGATCTATTTAGATAGTTATGCAAATTATATCTGTAAAAAAATCTGTGTATCATGTGGATAAACTTAGTCTTAACTATCTTCTTCACCCTGTAGTTCATAAACATGATTCTAATAACATATGTTACCCTCTGTTCCAACCCTTACTCTGAGTATCCTCCCTTTCCCTTATACTCCCTCACCTCCTCCTTCCTTTTTCCCATGATTTATCATCATTCTTATGTTTAAAATGTACAATGTACATTGTTTTTATCTGCAACTCTCATTCGTTTATAGTGGGCCAACCAATTAAAACAACCTACTCTGGTTAGGCGGGTCCAAACTACAAAGTAAATTGTGATTTTTTTATTTGTATTATCTCGTGCTTTGTACTTGAAAAAAATATGAAATATGAAATGAATTGTGATGACACTGACTATTACTTTAGAATTTAGAATCATTTAGAATATGTTATCTTAAAATCTGAAATATCTGAAGTATCTACACATATAACGTTTTCATTTTTCAGAAAAAAACGATCGTTTCGTTATGAAAACGACGACGTAAAATCGAAAACGAAACGATTGTTTTTAAAAACGATCGTTTTTTTTAAAGTTCGTTTATTAGAAATGGTCGTTTTAAAAACGATCGTTTATATAAAATTCGTCGTTTCGTTAATGATCGTTAACGACGACCTCTTCGTTAACGATCGTTAACGAAGAGAGGAAATCGTCCTGAAGGGCATCTGTACTTATCATTGAGTAGTTTTTAAGAAAATATCAAGGAGTTTTAACTCCGCCACAACTGTTAAACTTCATGTCAGACGACATTCAATAAAGTTGCATTTCATTTTTTTCTCCAAAAACGACCGTTTTGATAAAGTTTGTCGTTTCGTTAACGATCGTTAACGATAACCCTTCGTTAAAGTTCGTTAACATAATTGCCAATAAATTTTTTTTTCAAAAACGATCGTTTTTTCAAAAACGGCCGTTTTAAAAACAATCGTATAAAAAACGGTCGCAAATCGTTTTTCTCGAAAACGAAACGATCGTTTTGGAAAACGAAACAAAAAACGAACGTTTAACGATTGTTTAACGATCGTAAACAAAAATGATTAAGAACCCTATCTACACATTTAAATTATTTTCTCGCAACTTTAAAAGATATTCAATTTTAAAATCAACTATTTTTAAAAACAAAAACAAAGTAACAACTCGCTATTCAGGGCCTGAATAGTTCAGGGTTAGTTACCTCCAAGATTCTAGGGGGGGGGGGGTAATTACCCCCAGGATTCTAAGGGGGAATATTTACCCCCAGGATTCTAGGGGGGGGGGGGGTAAATAACCCCAATAACCCCCCTTATTTACGCCACTGTATGAAACATTTGAATTGAAAGCATGATCTTTTTAAAGTTTTCTAAATAATCAAAGCAGGAGCATTGTCTTGTAATATTGATAACCTTTGGATGACTGGTTTTAAACTACTCTCTCTATATAAACGGTTTTTTCTTCTTTGATTCTTTATTTAGATGGTGCAGTTACTTGGTAGATTTTCTTACAATTTAACAACAGATGAAAGGGAAGAAGAGAGTTTGGTTTAACTGAAATAGATTGAAGTATTATAGCAACAATATAACATTGATTAGAACAATTTTTAATGATTTCATATAATTACTTACACGAGTGTCCTATTAAGAAAAGAAATCAAATTGTATGTCTACATCAGCGTCCAAAGTTGGTTCAGGCCTTACTGAAGCTATACTCAGGAATCAGGATCCAGGCATACACATTCAAATAGGCTTTATAAGGCGTGCATGCAACGATTCGAAATCCACATATTCTGTATAGTAAAAATGCGAATAGATCAAATGCCTAATTTCAAAACACTTGTATCATATGTTTGTGTTTATTAACATATTGTTACAATTTAATTCACAATTTTTACAGTTCTAAAATGTAACCCCCCCCCCCCCTTAAGAACAAGAGCAAAAAATTAAATGTATAGATGAGATTGTAAAAGACTTTTTTGTTGTTGAAGATTTACATTTAATTGTTGAAAACAAATGCATCTACAGTTAAACCCTATAAATTATCCATACATCAAAAGAATTCATTAATTGTCCTATTCTTCACTTTCTGATAATGGAATGTTGCAGATATTTAGTTTTTTAATTAAATGATTATATGGAACTCTTTAAACCAATTCCCGCATATTCATGGCTAGTTATTTATTTATTTATTTTTTCAAATACTGAGATTTACGTAAAATAGTATAAAACCCATTGAAAAATTGTCAAGACGAAATTTGAATATACATATGTATACATAATAGAGATACATTTGTTCTTAGCAAATCATGAAGAATATGCTTTAGATATCACCCATCACCTTATACTTTTATTTTCACAATTAATTACGTATAAGAAGATATATTCTTTAAATATCACTTTGCTAAGTTCTCTTTTTCACTTTGGTTTCCTCTTCTTTTATCAATCCGAGATCTATTTAATTTAGAAAATAAATGTACGGAGTTACCCACAAAGAATGAGACTGCAGTAAAGACGACGTGAAACTCTTGAAATTTGACGATTCCAAGGTTAACTTAATCTTCCACCATAGTCTTTTAATGGCTTATTTCATGATTTGGGAAAGAAAGAAACTTAATCTCATAACTTATAGACGACATGTCATGTAATTAATCTCAAGAAACTACCTTGTTTTATTTTGTGGCAGAGGCATGCAACTCAGGAAAGTCCTCAATTGCGGCGATCAGCCCCTCCCCCATAGCCCCTTCAAAATTGTTTTAAGCCCCTGCCCCCTCCCCGGACAATTTACTAAATCTAATAATGTTACATCGTCTAAACACAACATCCCCCCTACTGAACTTCTGACCTACTAACTTTCCGAACTACAATTTATCGGACCTATAACCAGCTGTTTATTTTGGTAATGTTGATCCGCTCTACTGCCCATCCGTCCTATTGCCCATCCGCTATACTGCCCATCCGACCTATTCAGCAGCTTTTGTCATGCATATACCCAACAAACAAAAACCCGTGAAGAACACAAGATTATTTGGTTTATTTCACACGAGTGACTCGTCATTATCCCGTGATAATTCCCGTGTTGTCGAGGTGATTGTCGACGATTTGAACACGGGTCTAGGACCGAGTTTTTACACGGCGAAAACTTGAGTTTATTTAACGAGATGAACACGGGATTTTTACATGGGAAAATTATTTTTCTCTCATCTACTTTAATTACATTTTTAAAAACCCCGGGAAAGGGGGGGGATACATAATTGATTTCTGATATAGAAATATATTATAAAATATACTGTGTAAAAGTATATAACTATTACAAAATGTTTAGAAACTAAACATTTTAGTCTATATCTTTTAAATTAAACATCTTGAACATGTAAACTTTAAACTTTTTTATCACAAAGTGATATTTCAAGTCTAAATATAGTTCAATTATGTTAATGTATTCATAATTATATGAATTCCCCTTCCTGTATATATCTAAAATATCGATATTCCAGAAAGGGGTTGTTGAGAAATAGAATACAAAATTCAATGTGAAACTTTTCTATACTATGCTCATGCATGTTTTAATCTGAAAAAATTATGTCAGTTGAAATATTTCATTTTAATACAATAAACTTTTAGTTTCTAAAAGATGAGCAGAGACACCAAGTGTTGTGATTTTGCAACTCTGTTAAAAATGAAAGATGAAATTCTTCCCGTGATATCTCAAATATTTTACGCGTGATATTTACAAGAATTAAAATCTAGATAATTCTGGCATTNCCATCCGACCTACAGTGCATCGGACCTACCACAGCTGTTAAAACCACGTGGTTGTAGGTCGGATGGGCAGTAGAGGGGATGGGCGTAGGTCCAAAAATACACCATCGCTTATTTTTGTATTATTTGAGGGATTTGAGGGTTAGGTTGGGTTAAGACAATTTCTGGGCCAAGCGCTGCGGCTCGGACAGGATGGGGGCCGGGCGCTGCGGCCACAAGTCCATATAGCATATATTTAACAATTTTATTATACCATTTTTTCTGTTGAATGTTAGATCAGTTGAACAGAGATCGAGTTCTTGAGTCCAAATTCGAATCCTGGAATCTATTTCCGCCTCTTTGAAATCTGTCAAAATAGAACTTTGTGTACACTCTCCTCTCTCTCTCTTTCCCTGTCGAACTTTCTATATACTGTAACATTGACACTTTACAGAATACACGATCAAATTTCGATTTAAACAAAATTCCAGTTGTTATCAAATTTTCAAAAAATTGTAGCCAAGAAACGTAATCGATCCATTTTTATGATGATTTTTGATGATTTTCTGATCTGATTATTGAAAGGGGGGGGGGGGGGGGTCCTCAAATAGTTTTCTAGGAAATTACCTTATTTTGACAAATAGATTTGTGAATCAGTCTATACCAAGTTTGTTTAATGTTAGATGCTGTTACATGTTATGAATTATATCATATTGTATTGTAACAAATTAAATTAAAATTAATCAAAAAATTTCCCGTTGTAAGTATTTTGTTGATGTTACATCTGTTTAAATATTTTTAATTGTTTCAGACATAATACCACAGATGGCTTCCGATCAGGACAAGGACTCAAATCAATCAGAAGATCAATTGGATCAATTTGATCAGCTGGATCTAATCGATCAGGAATATATTGCTATTCTGTTGCAAAGGGACTATAGGTGTAAGCTGAAGGGCCACGGTCCAATTCCATGCTAAGATTATCAATTTCAAATTTATATTTGGTTCAAAGTACATTTCTAAACATTTTAATCAGAGAACTATAATAAATGGCATATTTATATAATGACAAACTATAAACCTTTAAAAAACCATCGACTTGGTAACCGGTATATAACAAGTTATTCATACATAATGACATTTTTCCAAACAAAGATGCCTGTGGAAAAAAATTTTAAAATTAAAAAAAAAGAATTGGAAGAAAAAAATTTGATTTTTTTAGCCTATGCCATCCCGGGCTACCCATGAGTGTCCACAAAAAAAGTTCAGCTCATTCGGCCCATCCGTTTATTATCAAAATTCGATTTTTTTTCTTTCAAAATTCGTTTTTGAAACTTCACTATAGCTAGTTCATCGATAAATCAATCAATCAATCAAACATTTAAGAGAAAGAGAGCAATAATTATTAAAAAGGATGATCACGAAGAACATGAACTCTCTCCAGATCTTTTAATTAAACATCCTCTCCAGGTAAATCAATCAATCAAGTATAAATCCATCCATCATCATCTTTAACTAAATCCATCAATTTCAAGTCAATCAACTACTACACATCAATCCATTGATTAACTACTAATCTATCCATCAAATTTTTCATCAACTACAAATTAATCCATCATCAACTTTAACTAAATCCATCAATTACATGTCAATCAACTACCACACATCAACCCATTGATAACTACTAATCAATCCATCAAATTATTCATCAACTATAAATTAATCCATCATCACCTTTAACTAAATCCATCAATTACATGTCAATCAACTACCACACCTCAACCCATTGATTAACTACTAATCATTCCATCAAATTATTCATCAAATACAAATTAATCCATCATCAACTTAAACTAAATCCATCAATTACATGTCAATCAACTACTACACATTAATCAATTTATTAACTACTATTCAATACATCAAATTATTCATCAACTACAAATTAATCCATCATCAACTTTTAACTAAATCCATCAACAACATGTCAATCAATTACTACACATTAATCAATTGATTACTACTAAGCAATCCATCAATTTATTCATCAACTACAAATTTACAATACTACAATAATTCCCAATAACGCAGCATAAAAAACGTGCCATGGCAAATAGGATAAAATAATGCTCATTATTAAATAATTTTTCCAAATTGTCAAACCTACTTAAAAATTTCACAAATTCCTGTCGCCATACCATTACCCAAAATTTAAAGCAAATTTTGCCAGGCGGCGTCATTCATGCTTTTTATAATTCATCATTTTAGGAATTATTATGCACTACAATATAAATATTAAAAATTATGTCTTTTTAGTTCTCGAATTTGGGGAAGGAAAGCAAGTAAAAATTGAGAGGGGGGGGGGGTAGAAGAAAAAATTGGAATTATATATACCCCTGGATCTACTACAAATCTCAAATCTATTTATTAATCAACTACATAGCTTAAAATAATCCACAAATCCAATAATCAACTACATATCCATCCATCAATCAAGCAGTACATCCAACCTTAACTACTACACTAGTATGGTCAAGCATTTGCGAAGTTCAGGCCCAAGAAGTTGGGTAAAATTATTAAAACAGAGATAAGAAAATCATATGAGAAATTGTTTTCCCTTTTTTGTATATTTTAAAAATTTTTTTTTTCCATATTACTTTTGTAAAATCACTGAAAATCGATGAAAAAATGTTGTTCTATCTAAGAAATTTCTAAGTTTTTTTTTTATGGGAAAAAAGCTTAAAACATATTTTCTTTTTTCATCCTGGTATCCTTATAATGTCCTATTATAGTCAAAATAAGATTAAAAATGTGAATTTAGAACTCCTGGACTCTGTGGTTTTATAAAAATGACAAAAGTAAGTCCTGGGAAGCCAACCAGAGAGAGATCATCACATTCAATACAGTAGAGGACTTCTGGGCACTCTACAATCACATCGAGCTCGCCTCCAGGTTAACAGTTTCATATAAATCGGTGTTAAGTGTCAGGAACCGCTCTTTTTGTATTAAAAAGAATGAAAAACGGTTAATTCCTAGAGAAGAATTGTTGGTCAAATTATAACTTACGGCCGCAGCGCTAAGCTCCCTGGCTTGTTCTAGCCGCGGCGCTCGGCCCCCTAGCCTGTCCTAGCTGTGGCGCTCGGTCCAGAACTTGTCTTCACCTAACCTTATCCTGGAATTCAAAATACTTCGTGTACTTTGGTCATGTACATTTATCTATGAAGGGTGGAAGGGGGGGGGGGTCAAAAATATTACTTTGGGATTGAGTCGGAAAAAACTTGCCTTTGACGTCCGATTTTCACCTTTTTTCCTTAAATCCTCCAAAATCATTAACTTGTATGGTAAGTCAAGCCTTAACAATATTACGTAATATTATAATAGGTCTAAAAATTTCATTATAATTGTTGCTAAGGGTCAGATTCCGATCTATTTGGCACTCTGAATACGGTCCAAGTTTTAAAATATAAGTCAAATATAGGCAAAAATTAATCAATTATAAATAAAAATCACTGCCAAGTTTTTGTCAATAAAGTTTAAGCAAAAAATCGTGTTCAAATATTTGGGAAAGTTGTAAGCTTTCTTTAACAAGACAAAGCCACGTCAAAATTAGGATTCAACTCATGCCTTTATTGTTTCCCTATCTAAATATGTGTGAAACTTTCAATTGGTTTTGCTCATTTATTTAAAAACAATTGCGAGTTAACCCTCAGAACCCGTTTTACGGCCACCTTAACAAACTCAAATTACTCAGAAGGAACTGAAAACGTGTTTCAAGTTCCCCTTTACTCGTAGAATGTTATGTCCGATTCTGAATGGTACTCTTGAAACATTTTCCTGATTGTGGTTAACTGCGATATTTTTGTTTATTGAGTGTAAGTTTCTTGATGCTATATCGTTTGCACTAATATTTTAACTTTGAACTAACGTACTTTTGCACTAAAGTCAGCTGATCAGTAACACTGTGGCCGCAGCGCCCGGCCCCCTAGCCTGTCCTAGCCGCAGAGCTCGGCCCCTAGCCTGTCCTAGCAGCAGCGCTCGGCCCAGAAATTGTCCTAACCTAACCCTCAAATAAAACGTTAGTCCGAATGTACGTTTGTGCGAATGTACGTTAGTCCGATCAATCATTAGTGCAAACGATACGACACCAGTTTCTCGGCACCCGTTTTTCAGTCACAAAAATTTTTATCTCCGTCCACTATGGTCTTGACAAAGGTCTAAAGCGTACCATTGGTAATCTGATAGGGCACATAAAAAACGTTTTCCGTTCAATTAAGGAAAATAACCCCAGTTTATAAAATTTACAATTAATTGATTAATTAGACTTGCTGCTGGATGCAACTATACTCTGTTAAAAGAAGGAATACGACCTATATTAATTAATTGACTAGACTTGCTGCTGGATGTGGCTATTCTCTGTTTAAAGATGGAATACGACCTATATTAATTAATTGATTGACTAGACTTGCTCCTGGATGGGACTATTCCCTGTTTAAAGAAGGAGTACGACCTATATAAATTAATTGATTGACTAGACTTGCTGCTGGATGTGACTATTAGCTGTTTAAAGATGGAATGCGACCTAAATTAATTAATTAATTGATTAGACTTGCTGCTGGATGCGACTATTTCCTGTTTAAAGATGGAATACAACCTATATTAATTGATTGATTAATTAGACTTCCTGCTGGATGCGACTATTCCCTGTTTAAAGAAGAAATACTACCTATATTAATTAATTGATTGATTAGACTTGCTGCTGGATGCGACTATTCCCTGTTTAAAGAAGGAATACGACCTATGTGGGAAGATGAAAGGTTTGTAGAATTTGTATAAGGGATTGTTTATTACTTAAAATTACTCAAATTAAGTCTGTCATATTACTTATTGCAGATTGTAATTCAAGCGTTTATACTGACAAGTTGAATTGTACATTAATGACTTTTTAAAATCATTTTGATAAAGCAACGATGAAGTGTATTTTTTCATCCAAAAATTGATTTTGTTCAACAGCGGTTTTATGAAAGTAACTTGTGAATTTTGGGTTCAGAGACTGAGCCAAGGAAGATAATTGACCAAATTTATCTCTGAAGAAAGTAAACGAACGATATCGTCTCCAGTGCTACACAGTTTATGGTTAAATAGTCTCGTTGTGACAGATGGAAGATTAGATAAATTTACGTCAGCAGTCCCATTAATATCTTTAACTGTTGAATATTCTAGCAATAAGAGAGGAGGACGTTGGTTGATAAATTTGGACAAAAAGCAACGTGGATCCTGTTTAGATAATTTCTGGCTTGAAGTGGTAAATATATATTTATACAGGGCCGGAGAAACTAAATATTTGATATCTGTCTGGCAAACGGATCAAACGATAGAAAGTAGAATTTTTTGTTTCAACTCAGAATATCTCAGCCCCCAGGGAAGGGTTATGGCCGGTCTAAATATTAAAAAACCATCAATGTAAACTAAAAAATTCGCTAAAATTAAAGGTTCAAGAGTACGATTTAAAAAGCAATTAAATGGATACAAATTTGTTTTTGTTGCCTGAAATATCTAGATATTAAGCGTTTCTATCCTTTAAAAAAGAAATTTGCGACAAAATAACGGAAAAAAAAGATTATTTTTAATTTTTTCACACTTAGCAATTTTTAAAAATTCTTTAAAGAATATTTTGTATCCGTGTATGTTGTGTACACTTTTTATGAAAAAGATGATTTTAAAGAAACCTAGATGGGGGGGGGGGGGGTTACTGACTGAGTACTGAAATAAAGAAAAAAATATATTCTAATTTACATTTTAGGTTCTGTGTCTCATAGGGGAGTCATTTGAGAGCGAGAGTGTACTTGTTAATGGGGCTGTGGTAAATGTCAGAGCAAGGGTAAAAAACATTAAAAATAAAATACAAAACACATAATTCAATATAGCTATTCATGAATTCTTTGTTCCATTGTTTAAAAGAAAAAAATGATCATGTAATTTTCAAGTTTGCAATTTTTGGTGAATTCAGATTTTTTTTCATGTTATAATTATATCTCTATATTTAGCCCCTCAATATAGACTAAAACTAAGACTTTTTACTCTTAAAGGGAAAGAATGCGTAATTTCAAGTGACCCTCCATACAAAGATATTGTCGCTTTTCTGACCTGATAAGTGGTTGCATCTGTGAGTTTCTCTATTGCTTTTTATTAACAGTTAAAAAACAGAACATTGAACTCTAAATCATACTTGATCAGACAATGCTTCTAAGAGTACCGTTGTGAATCCGGCATTGCCATCTTTGCATGGAGGGTCACTTGCACTTACGCTTACAGTTCCTTTAAGGAAATTTTCCGGGAAATCAAAATGGAATATAGATAGATAGATAGGCTGATTCTTGAATCGATGGCAACCATTTTGTCCTCTATATAATATCTACAACGCCAGTAATGAGTAAATAGCAGAAAGCTTAGAGTCCTGTAAATTCAAGGAGTTGCAATATCACAATCAAATATAAATATAAATATAAATATAGATGAATGATTTGAGTTTTTATATGATATTGAAACCCCATGAAATTACATGGCCTACGTAAAAACCCGCCTTAATACTGACACTATGGATAGAATTAAAATTTAGTACATGGCGGTCGATCCCAGATTCGATTCGGATTCAGCCATTTTTTTTTGCAAACACCCCTTTTTAAAAGTTAAATCTCATTTTTCACTGAAATTACTTAACAAACCTTGCTCCTTTGTTGATTTTTTTATACAAATATTGTGGCTAAACTGATCTGGCTAAAATTTTTCGTGGGGCCTCACAAGACCCTAGAGGTTTATTAATGATCGAAACTAGAAAATTTGCACTAAAGAACTTTGATTTTTTAAATCTACGGAAAAAAATCAATTATGTTTTATTATTGATTTATTATTTAAGAAGAGAAAATGTCTCAAATAGAGCAATAGTATAGGCTAAAATCGAAGATCCTAGTATAATAAAAAATAAAATATAGAGCATTGCGAATATATACCATAGGTTTATGCTATGCTGACTCATGTTGGTCTGGTTTTTAGAAGGGATTCCGGATCCGCAATATTTTGGCTTCCTGGATCCGGATCCGAATTCGCAAAAAAAAGCGGATCCACGGATCCGGATCCAAGGGGTAAAAACTACATAAAAAAACTTTTTTACTTCTAAAACCCAATTCATAACTTGTGGATAAAGAGAGATTATAAAAATTTCCTCGTTTCTGTTTGGTTCATCAAGTTTACAGATAAAAATAAGCGAAAAAAAAATAAAATAAAAATCTGAAAATTATTTTTTGTTAAAAAAAAATCAGTAAATCTTAAAGAAATGACCTTGTTCCGGATCTGGATCCATTTTTTCCAGTGCGGATCCAGGATTCGTATCCGCATCAAAATTAAATGGATCCTAAGCACTGAAAAAAAACTGATTTGATCCTAAAGATCAGAATTATTTCAAGTTTTGATCTGACCTAAGGCCGGAGCGATTCTTCAAACAAAGGATCCCAATTCTAGTTAATTCCTTCATTGTTTGCCGTAGTAAAAAAAAGCTGTTGCAAACTTAAGGAAAATATGTTTTGAAAAACGTAAAACTTTGATTTTTGGGAAGCCTCGTAAAAACCTTTCCCTGAAAGTATTTGTTTCTACCGAATTAATGAGGATGCCCAACTCACGAGATGTATTTGCAGGGAGATAAGCTGTCGATGTGGCTGTGTGAGGCCAAACCTCAGGAGGCTATTGTTAGTGTTGGTCAGAGGCTCAAAGGGAGGCTGGGCATTGAAGAAAAGGTAAATTTACTTTAAGACAAAGATATCCTAACAGTTGATTGATGGATTGGCGGGACCTTAATCGTATTTTCACGTGACCTTTTAATTAGAAAGTAGCATGTGCGATTGATGACGGTACCTTTAAACTTTTGCGTCTTTATAGTTTAATGTTTACCTATTGAAACTTAAGCAAAGATTTAGAGGTTATCGTATTGGACAGGCTACTCTTAAACATAATTTCAAGTGACCCTTCATGCAAAGATAGTTATGCCTGATTTACAACAGTACACTTCAAAGCTTTGTTTGATCAATTATGCATTTGATATCAATGTGATTGTTTCTTTAAACTGTTTCTAACTTTCTTGTTATTTCTGGTTATTTTGCGAAAGTCAGTGTCAAGCGCATTCCTTGTTTTTTAGGAAACAATGGAGAAAAACGACGTTGTCATTTTTGATCAAATTAAGGTTTAAAGGGTAATGTGGCAAATCGGACGATGCCATCTTTGCAGGGGGGGGGGTCACTTGAAGTTACGCTTACAGTCCCTTTAAAATCACATCTACAGTGTAAAGTATTTTAACCACTATGTTCATTTATTCTATCTAGGTTATCATTGGTTATGAGGTGCATAGTGATACGATGAGTAAACAGGGTTCTACAGCAAAGATACGATACACAGTTTGATATCCAGGTTAATATTATCTCAAGTGTTTATATATTTCAGTATTCCCAATCTCCTTTTAAGCCAAAAAATTGGACACGAAAAGACAGGGTTTCGTTCTTTATTATAAGTTTTACTCAACAATTGTTTGTTTTCCCTTAGTATTAATTTGTTTTGTCCTATTCAGTGAATACAACCCTAAAAATTCTGGAGCTCCGTACTAACATTAAAAAAATGCTTTTCTTTATGTCTTAAGTTTCAATATCAATTTACAATATTCTTCTGTTTTCAGGTCTCGCCATTGACGTACACTAGAAAACAAACATTAAGCAGTACTGTGCAGTACTGAACTGTACTGTACTGCGGATGCGTTCATGCCAACAAAGTATATAAAGCAAGCAAATACCATCAATTTTATAAATTTATATAATTTTATGGTAAATTTTAAAAGGATTTCTAAAATGACCTTACAATGTAGGGGTATTCGAATTATTCTATATTTAAAAAAGACAAAAATTAGGTTTTATTACTTGATCGAAAACATAAGGAATATTGCGTTAGAAAATAGTTTGGTGCATTTATTTTTAAATGCCCTTCATTCAGTTTACGTCTGAAGATGCTTCTAGGAAGCGATTAAAACAATTTTTAGAATTTTCTCGAGAAACTAAATATTTTTTTAGTCGTTAGAACTTTCTTTAACTAGGACCAGATTTAACTAGTTAAAATATACCCTTCAAGCTCATTCATACACATGATAAGACTCATTCAGCTTAAGTGAAAAAACGTTGTTACATGGTTTTAGAAATTCTTATTTTCAGACGAAACTAAAAGATTGTTTCAGTTGTTGAAATTATTGATACTAATTTAATTTTTAATTATTTATTTCTCCAATTAATTTGTTTGAAGCAGAATCTCTCAAAAACTCTCAGTCATAGAATAGACTTTCCTCGTCATTTCTAGCAAATTACCCTCTTAATCAGGATTGTTTATTTTTATTTTTTATTTTGCAAACTTTTACTGGCTGACGGGAGAATTTTGAAAGATCTTCTCTAAAAAATCTAGTCTTCGAAATTGTTATTTTTAAGAGATTAATTAGAGAAAGGTGACCTCAATTTCGTCTTTCTAATTCCTTGCATAAATAATTATTTTGAAAGATACTTGCCAATTTGGGACAACCAGTCAAAGGTATATATTTCCAATAATTTAGATTTTCTACAAGGGAGGGGGGACCCTTTGCTAGGGACATTTCAAGGTAGAAATAAGTATAAGATTTGGGCTTCATGGCAACATCACTGAACATTTTATTGGGTTCATAGTTACATTTTTAGAAGGGGTTGGGAAATCATTTTCAAGGAAATATATACCCCTGCAACTAAGACGTGTGGAATACAATTATATGGATAGTTAAAATTCTTCACAATTAGAATAATCAGTTATTCTTAAATATCGAACTATCGAAAGCATTTCAAAATTATCCGAACTTTAAACTGAATGTTGTGAACGAAATTGTTCATTGATATTTGGTTCATAAGTTCGGACTAGATATTTATAATTTCGGACTAGATGTTCACAATTTCGAACTAAATGTTCATAACTTAGAATTAAATGTTCATAATTTCGCAATGCATTCTACTAATTCTGTATTTAAATTGGCTATGAAAAATTGTTTAACTTTCCGTCTATTCATCGTCTTAGGTGGACTGAACACCTTTTCTTTAACCTAAATACTCCTCGTATTAAGTTAGTTTTATAAAACTAATGTTATCATGAGGTTGGAAAAAATCGCAAAAACAAAAAATGTAAAAAAAGAAACTTGTTATTTTTTTAATGTCCGAGAACAAATTTTTGTTCTTTCAGTCTCCTTTCTTCATTAGAAGGCCAGGAATTGTAATTTAGATATAAAAAAGTAACTTAAAAAAGAACGAGAATGTTCAAATTCTGACTTTAAGGGAGCGTTCATGAAAAGTCTAAAATTTCCGGGAATATTATCCGTATTATCAGAAACATCGGATAGATATAAACCTATTCTTCTTTTTCACGAACTCTTCTTTAAGATCCTAATTTAATTATGCAAAATTATTATTGAGATCTATAGAAGTTTAAATTGTTAATCTAAATTATGATGAATAAAAATTGTAGTTATATATATATATATATATGAATAAGATTAGGTATTTGTGGGTATAATATTTAATAAATTTCAATCGATGCAAAATTATTATTTTCATTATTCAAAATTATACGCGGAAAAAAATGCATCATTTCACAATATTTTTGGCTCCGAAATAAAACTTGGTGCACAGCGAACATCATTTTTAACATCGTTTTTTAAGCATATTTTTCCTGAATCCAATTTTTTTTAAAATGCCAATCTTGTATTTTTGGTTTTAATGCAGGATTTGGTGAGAAATATATTAAATAATTTGTATTTCACAATATTTGACAAAGCTGAAATCAGAACTTGTGTGCCGTGAAACTCAGGACCAAGTATTGAACTCAATCTACTGCAGATGTATCTATGGATCATTTTAGTTTCTCTCCGATATCCCGTATTGACCACATGCTTATTTAGAGTTTAAGAAATTGTCCTTAATTTTATAGTACCTACATTGGATTTCGAGATCAAGCGATCAAGGTTAACCTGACTTGACTCGTTAGTTTCGACTTCTGATAATTATTATTTTTAATTAATCAGTGTTATTTATTTTAACCCAGAGCTTGATACCGAGAATAGAGGTTGCGTTTGCCTTCGCTCTATCTTCGTTCTGATACGGATCTGATGAGATAGGGGCGCGGGGCATTTTGCGGGGCTCATGGCGGCTTTGCACTCCCTTCCTATATGAATCCTGGCTTACCAACAGGAAAATTTGCTAACCTTTTCTTGTTCTTTCTCCGCGGGTTTTTTTTAGATATGCGGGCATTAGATAATGCTGAAATGGTTCTATTATCAAGTGGTTTCTACTTTTCCGTGAATATATGAATGCATGACCTCAATAATCTTATAATACCATTATACAATTATAACTCTATTTTCTTTGTGAAAACTGTGAAATTAATGTTTCTAAATATTTGATTTTATTAAAAGAAAAAGTTCCGCGCAGGCAGTGCATCCTCTCTCTATTTGTCACGTAACTCAACGCTGCCTGCGCGAAACTCCTTTGGGCTTCTGTTTCAGGGTTTTGTGAATAAAAAAACAGCTAAATCTTGAAAAAAACGACATTTATGTGTTCTACCTGTGTTTTCATTAATCTATGGAGATTATATTCTATGAAATGAACAATAGTTTTCTTTTACATGTTTACATGTTGATTCAATGATAAAAATCATCATTTTTAAAGGTTTCTGTTATAATTAAATATAAAATATATTTCATAATAATTAGCAATTATACAGCTTTAAGATTACAGGTTTCATTAGGTTTTGTTATGTTAAGACCCATACACAAATCCATTTCACAGATAATTATCAAGCTCTGCCAAGCTCGCTAAGTTGGTATAAACTATTTGTTTTGTGACAGCAAATATACCCATAAGGTTGCTTAAAATGTCGTCTTCCTATTCCAGGGTTTTTATAAAATTTAGAATATTCATAATAATTGGTTTTTACATACTTACACCAAAAGCATTTCTAAATTATGAACAGAATGTTATTGATATCTCACACATTTATATATCCATACCATTCTGATCATAATTTCTATGAATTAATTAAAATAACAGAAAGGACAAGTTAGATGTTTAAAGATTTTCCTTCACATTAACCCTGAGACAGAAGCCCAAAGGAGTTACGCGCAGTCGGCCATAGAACAGAATCCCTCTTTGTCTTGTAAATCTACTCAGCACCAAATATTATCAAGTAAAATAGGTGCCAACAGAGAAATGATCCAATCATACACAACGTCAACAGTGTCAAATATAACAAGGAAAACGAAATTGTCTTACATTAGTTGACATGTTTTCCAAGAGAAAAAAGTGTAAAAACAGAAACTAAAGAACACATAAAATTGCACTTATTTTACTGTTAGAAAAGCACTTTACTCTAAAATTATCACTATTATTGATAATTTTGTCGGACACAAAAACTGAATTGACACTTGTGACGACAGAATACAACTGTACTGAGAGTGTACAAATTCTACGTTGCCATCTATTGTATTAGAATCTATTTGACTCATGCAGGACACGCGTAACTCCTTTTATCGGCTGCCTTAGGGTTATTGTGAACGGGAAACCCCCTAAATCTTGAAAAGACGACATCTAATGTACTATCTTTTGTTTTATTTTATTTCTATTGAGAAATATGTTTCTAAACATCAAATTATCTAACGTTGTAGAATTCATTTTACATTTTTCGTCGTCATTATTTAATAATTTTGAAAAATCGATTCTCTAAATGGGGCGTAAATAAGGATTCTGTAGGGGGTGGTAATTTTTTTAATGTGGCGCGCGAATTTTTTTACCCCTAGAATTTTTATACCCCCCCCCCCCTTAGAAAAATATCATGATGTATATCAAATTATTGGTTTTAGTTGGGTTTGATTTGCATTTTCCACTCATTTCTGGCATTAACAAACTCCATCAAATAAAGGCAATTCATTTCCTACCTTTCAGTTTTCTTTCACCTTGTTTTATATTCTTCATTATAGTCATTCATTTTACATTAACTACAAAGATCTTTAAAAAATCTGAATTTATTTTAAGTAACATAAAAAATAGTTTTACTCTAAGAGAAAAATATGCTACTTTTTAAATCTTTAGAAAAGCTACTTTGCAAAACTTTGAAAAAATATTGTTTTATTTAATTCTTATTTCTAATTTCTAAAATGTTCTATGTCGTCAATGTAGTATGTTAATATCTTTAATAAATCTAATATGAAAATGACATTATTTAGAAGTAAAAATGTATTTTTCATTGCCCATACCCTATTTTTCTATTAAAAAAAAACAATTGTAATGACATTGACTATTACTTTAGAATTTATAATCATTTAGAATATGTTGACTTAAAATCTGAAATTTATGAAGTATCTGCACATTTAAATTATTTTCGTGCAAATTTTAAAGATATTCAATTTTAAAATCAACCTTTTTTTAAAAACAAAACAAAGTAACAACTCTTTCCTCTTTTCAGGATTCTAGGGGGGGGGGGGGGGGAATTTTTAAATTTTGTTATAATTCATGGAGTTAGGTCATATGCAATTAAAGATATAGGTTTAACAATTACAAAGAAATATTTCAAATAACATAAAATAGTTCAAATGAAAAATTTCAAATGAACATAAAACAGTTCAAATGAACAATTTCAAATAAACTTGAAATAGTTCGAATGAAATATTTCAAATGAACATAGAAATAGTTCAAATGAACGTAAAAATAGTTTAAATGAACCGAAACATTTTTAAAAGAAATAGTTAAAAACAAAAAGACAATTCCTTGGCCGAGAGCTGCGGCTAGGGGAATGAGCACTGCGGTTAGGACAGGCTAGGGACCGAGCGCTGCGGCTAGTGGAATTCAAATGAACATAAAATTAGTTCATATGAACCAAAAAATATAGCTCAAATGTGCATATTTCAGGGTTGGGTTAAGTTAAGACAATTTCTGGGCCGAGCCCTGCGGATAGGACAGACTCTAGGGGGCCAAACGCGCTGCGGCTATTAGTTCAAATGAACCGAAAAATACTAATTTGTTTGTTCAAGTAAAATATCCCTACTAACCGGAAAACATTAAATTACGCATGACATTTGTATATATACGTACTTAAGGTTTGAAATACGTAAAAATCATAGATAAAGATAGATTGCGCATAAGACGACATTTTTCATCTTGAAAGATATAAATGTACAGAGATGTTTTAAAGATATTCCTATTATATAGACTAGGTCGGTTGTGAACATTGGCTGTTCTTATGTCATTGAGTACTTGTGGTGTACAGGAGTTCTGTAGAGAGAAATTTAAGTTAGTTTAGTCCTTCTCATGTCCTTCTTCAGTTCTCGTCAATATGATATATTGCTCAGTGAAATATTGTTGTTCAAATAGTTCCATTCTGCAGAGTTATATTAAAACACCATACCACCCCGCTTGTCATTGAAGTACACTTTGACCCCTGAGTTCGCGGACTGTACAATTCTTGGTGATTTGCGTACATAAGCTATCTATGTTTACTTATTTATCTATGGTAAAATTACTTTTTTTTCTATACGTGACATATGTATTTTCCTAACCATTTCCTTGGTAAAATTATATCCGTAAAAATACATATATTACAAACATAAAAATGCATAAGTAAAAACCTAAAAAATCCAATGAATCAGGAATTTTAAAGTTTTTACTATACATAGATTTAGGTTTGAAGAAATCCTATTTTTGTGCTATTGAGGTTTCCTAAATAAATTGACAGTTGACACTTAGAAAAGTTAGTTGGCATCAAACTCTAAAAAAATACAATTTTTTAAGTTAAGAAAAATTCAAAAATTCGTAAATATTTGTAAAATAAAAACCTAACAACTTAGAAAAATTATTTGGTATGAAATTTACGAAAATGCACGTATTTTTAGGTTTGCATCTGTTTCGCGACCAAAATCTGGTCGCTTAAAATATCCTAAAGTATTATTATTATTAATGAAATAAAGTGCAAATATAATTTTTGACACATTAAAATATAAATCCGCGTAACTGTTTTTTTAAATTAACTTTCTTTAGAATTCTATAAGAAAAATTAACTTGTATTCCATTCCAAAATTTTATTAAAAATTATGGCTAAAATCCGTGAAAAGGTATTGAGCATACCTGCATCAATTCTTACTGAATAAAACACCGAAAATGTATTTATTGTTTACAAATTTTCCATACTATGAAATAAATTTTAATACATTGATAACCAGAAGAAGCTGGAATAAGAAGACGCCTTTTATACTCAGGTTATGACTTTAAATAGTTCAAAGAGCATAGAACACAGCAATTGTGTATTGCACACACACCCATTTCACTTAATTAGTCATTCAACAAGTGCTTAGTATAAAACGATTTGTAACAACATCATATTACACTTAGGTGGTGTTATAAAGTCGTCTTCCTATAATACATTCTTCTGGTTCTGTATGTTGAAAATTCTCATACTTCTGTCATTAAGAATTAAAAAGAATAGTTAAAGATCTGCGTACTTTTACCACATTGTAGACAACTGCACTATGAACAGTAACATTGTAGACAACTGCACGATGAACAACCACATTGTAGACAGCTGCACGATGGAGAGTAACATTGTAGACAACTGCACTATGAACAGTAACATTGTAGACAACTGCACGATGAACAGTATCATTGTAGACAACTGCACTATGAACAGTAGTGGACAACTGCACTATGAACGGTAACATTGTGGACAACTGCATGATGAACAGTAACATTGTGGACAACTGCATGATGAATAGTAACATTGTAGACAACTGCACAATGAACAGTAACATTGTAGACAACTGCACGATGAACAATCACATTGTAGACAACTGCATTATGGACAGTAACATTGTAGACAACTGCACGATGAACAATCACATTGTAGACAACTGCACGATGAACAACCACATTGTAGACAACTGCACGACAAACAGCCACATTGTAGACAACTGCACGATGAACAACCACATTGTAGACAACTACACGATGAACAGTAACATCGTAGACAGCAGCACGATGAACAGCAACATTGTGGACAACTGCACTATGAACGGTAATATTGTGGACAACTGCATGATGAACAGTAACATTGTGGACAACTGCATGATTAATAGTAACATTGTGGACAACTACACAATGAACAGTAACATTGTAGACAACTGCACAATGAACAGTAACATTGTAGACAACTGCACGATGAACAATCAAATTGTAGACAACTGCACTATGAACAGTAACATTGTGGACAACTGCATTATGAACAGTAACATTGTGGACAACTGTCCGATGAAAAATCAAATTGTAGACAACTGCATGATGAACAGTTACATTGTGGACAACTGCACGATTAAAAACCACATTGTAGACAACTGCATGATGAACAATCAAATTGTAGACAACTGCATGATAAACAGTAACATTGATGTCAACTGCACGACGAACAACCACATTGTAGACAACTGCAGGATAAACATTCACACTGTGGACAACTGCACTATGAACAGTAACATTGATGTCAACTGCACGATGAACAACCACATTTTAGACAACTGCACAATGAACAATCACATTGTAGACAACTGCATGATAAACAATCACATTGTAGACAACTGCACGAAGAACAATCACATTGTAGACAACTGCACGATGAACAGTAGCATTGTAGACAACTGCACGATTAACAATCACATTGTGGACAACTGCATGATGAACAGTAACATTGTAGACAACTGCACGATGAACAATCACATTGTAGACAACTGCATTATGGACAGTAACATTGTAGACAACTGCACGATGAACAGTAACATTGTGGACAACTGTATTATGAACAATTTCATTGTAGACAACTGCACAATGAACAGTAACATTGTAGACAACTGCACGATGAACAGTAACATTGTGGACAACTGTATTATGAACAATCACATTGTAGACAACTGCACGATGAACCATCACATTGTTGACAACTGCACGATGAACAGTAACATTGTAGACAACTGCACAATGAACAGTAACATTGTGGACAACTGTATTATGAACTGTAACATTGTAGACAACTGCACATGAACGATCACATTGTAGACAACTGCACGATGAACAGTATCAGTGGACAACTGCACTATGAACAGCAACATTGTGGACAACTGCATGATGAACAGTAAAATTGTAGACAACTGCACGATGAACAATCACATTGTAGACAACTTCACGATGAACAGTATCATTATGGACAACTGCACTATGAACAGTAACATTGTGGACAACTGCATGATGAATAATAACATTGTAGACAACTGCACGATGAAAAATCACATTGTAGACAACTGCACGATGAACAGTATCATTGTGGACAACTGCACTATGAACAGTAACATTGTGGACAACTGCATGATGAACAGTAACATTGTAGACAACTGCACGATGAACAATCACATTGTAGACAACTTCACGATGAACAACCACTTTATAGACAACACCACGATGAACAAACAAATTGTAGACAACTGCACGATGAACAATCACATTGTAGACAACTGCACTATGAACAATCACATTGTAGACAACTGCGCGATGAACAACCACATTATAGACAACTGCACGATGAACAACCACATTGTAGACAACTGCACGATGAACACATTGTAGACAACTGCGCGATGAACAACCACATTGTAGACAACTGCAGGATTAATAACCACATTATAGACAACTCCATGAAGAACAGCCATATTATATACAGGGTGTCCCAAAAAACATGGGAATTCAGTGACGAATTCGATATCGTCTTTGTTATACATTAGCATTGTGATACCTGATATCAACAGCCATATATTATTATGTCTGCTAGAGTTTATTTTATGAAAACGGTGAATGGCTGTAAAGATGTGTCTATAATGTATCCGCAAGATGAAGAGTGAAGATGGATAAGTTTACTCTGTTTGTATTCTGCAATTTTCTTGTTTTACTAAGTACAACCGTAGGCACAGTCAAATCATAAACAAACAAAATGTGAACATAGCAGACAAAACTCTTACAGATTACAGCTTTCTCAGTAGGTATCACTATAATTTTTATCCCTCCCCCCTAACTATCCCTCCCACCCTATTTAGGTTTAAATGTGCAATTATACATAGAGTTGGATTTATATCTTTCATTTCCTTTCAATTCTCCACACCTCCATATATATATATAGAGTATAAATATTGTATATATATAGAGTATTCACCTTCAAACACATAGAGTATACATAGAGCATTCACCTCCATATACATAGAGTATATATAGAGTAAATATATAGAGTATATATATAGAGCATTCAACTTCATATACATAGATTATACATAGTATACATGGAGCATTCACCTCCATATACATTGAGTATATATATAGAGTAAATATATAGAGTATATATATAGAGCATTCAACTTCATATACATAGAGTATACGTAGAGTATTCACCTTCATATACATAGATTATACATAGAGTATACATAGAGTACATATAGTATTCAGTTTTACATACAAAGAGTATATATATATTATAGTATATGAATAAAAATCAATAACGCAATGCACTGAGTTTCTCAAATATTCCACGAGTCGGTTTTTCTTACGATATATTTATATACAAAAGATACAAACTTTAAATCGAACGATACTAATACAAACTGAATGTTATGAATCTAATCGGTTCTATCAAACAGGAGACATTTTACATTTTCATTTTCATCGTTTCACTTATACAAACTAAATAATGTTAATCAAATCAGTTTCATCAAATAGGGGAATTCTTCAAGGGAACCTTAATTCAAGGGAGCTGAATCACAACTGCCTGTCCCCCTTCGATTTCGCTCCATCCTAGGATCGCATTTAACCCTAGCTACCACGGGGTTGTTCCGCCCTCTCCCCAACGCTTGGGTCTTCGAGATAACGGAAAATTCGGCGTCGCTTGGGTTATTTATAGAATCCAAATGCAAACTCAAATAAATCCGTTAGGATTCAAAATAGGACTCTAAAGTCCAACCGTAGGGTTAAAGATGGGGGGGGGGAGGGGGCATGATTCCCCTTGGTAGCTATGATCTCAGCGATCCAAAACGTCCTTGAATTGCTGATCGTAAAAGATCAACAAAACTCGCCCACTGTTACAATATATATAGAATATAGAGTATGCATCTTCATGTACTTAGAATTGTATAGAGTATACTAAGAGTATTCACCTCCAAATGCATAGAGCATATACTATACAGTATACACTATACTATAAAGTTTACAAGGTTTACCATGAAGGATATACTTTAAATACAGCTGTACCGAATAAATCTTTTTAAAGTCCATTTAAACTGGAGCAGCACTTTTGCCAGGTACTTCAATATACCTTAATTTACGCTATATACAGTTTGTCCCATATACATGACAATAGTAAGACGACTTGAAAATCGTCTCTGATTTTTGAATTTATTTGGAAATTCAGTCGTCAAGCTACTTTTACATGTATGATTCTTGAAACAATAACCATAAAATTCTTCTTATCCTGGTATTTTCAAAAGTTGGTCTGCCTTTATTGTGTACTCAATATTATCCGGAGATATTAAAAATTTCGTTCAGATTTCAATATTGTTAAAGAAAACCAAAATTGTCGGAATCTGATCAAAATTCTTCATATCTGAGGTAATATTGAAAGTTCACAAAAGAAAGTCGACCACATTTTAGAAACTTCAAGACATACATTAGGGAGTATTGAGTGATTATAAACTATGCAATTTTACTTCTAAAATTAGGTTGAAAATAAATCCAGCAAATTATAAAAAAAAATCTAAGACGACAATTAAGGCGTCTTACAACTGTCATGTTTCGTGGGACACCCTGTATATTATTGTCTTGGTAGTGTAATGTTTAGTGGGACACCCTGTGTATGGCATAAAGTGTGTACATTTTGATTAAGTCTTTTCAAAAAATCTGTCCTTATGATAATGCTAATATTTGAATTTACATATGTTAAAAACGCTAAAATAAAAAGTGAGTATTTCTTTTGTATGATTAAACTTTTAAGCTCTTCTTAATCTTATTTAATTAAAATTTGAAGTTTCAAACATATTTAAACCTAGTCTACCCCCCCCCCTTCCCACCTTAAGACGTCCTATAACTCTAATCCCCCCCACCCCATCTCCACCTACAAATGCTCCAGATTCCTCCCCTTCCCCCCTTTGCCCCTTTTCTTTTAATTCTGAGGTCGGAAGTAAGGGTTTAATTCTGAAGTCACAATGATAAATTTTCTAATTTATTTCTAATTGTACTTTAATTTTGTCTGTTAGATTTTAAATTGGAAATAAAGCATTTAGTTTCTTTTTCTAAAACAAAGTTATTTATTGGTGTTTAAAAACATTAATTTGTTGTACTTAGTCGATTTACCTTATTCTTATTTAGTAGGATCTAGTTTTTGAATCAAAAACCAACAAACATTTCCCACTTCGTTTTTCTGCATTTGTCGGAGATTTTTCAAAAACTTTTTGTAAGGCCCATGTGGGGTGTCTACAGTCCACTTTTGGTCGGGAAACTTAATTCTGGACTCTAGAATGCATTTTTCCCTGTCCTTATTACATCCCCCCCCTTTTCCCGATTTTTTCCCATTCTCTAACACAAAAATCTATCAGCATTTGACAGATTATACTCCTTTAAAACTGAAGCTTGAAACTAGCGCGTATTGTAGTTCAGAATGTACAAAATAAATCTAGGGCTACAAAAAGGTATTTTTGTAGCTGTCTGGATCTCTGTGAGATTTAAGATGGCTTGCCTGGAAAAATTAGCCGTATTTTTGCTAGAAATGAAATTCAAAAATTTAAAATGGATTAAGTCATTACAAAAAAGTAAAATTGAGATAATGTGTTGAATTCAAAGGTCAATGCCTAGAGACACTTTAAAGAAGACCCAGTCTTCGCAATGTTTGATAGCAGTCTGGGTGTATGTGTGTGTGTGTGTGCATGGAAGCTGTCTTGTATCTGTCAGATTTGAGGTTCTCTCCTGTCAGTTTCGGCTACTTATATATATATATCTAGATATATATATATATCTAAGTCTGGGATATTAAAAAATTGGCAGTCTTTAGAACAGTATGTCCATAATAAGCCTCTTTTACCATTGATAAATAAATAAACATAGACAGCTTATGTACGCAAAATCACTAAGAATTGTACAGTCCGCGAACTCATATACTTCTAGGGGTCAAAGTGTACTTCAATGATAAGCGGGGTGGTTTGGTGTTTTAATGGATTTCATAATTATTAAACCACTGAGGAGTGATTTTTATTTTGAGAATATCAAATTATTTCACTGAGCAATATATCATATTGATGAGAACTGAAGAAGGACATGAGAAGGACTTAAAAGCTAACTTAAATTTCTCTCTACAGAACTCATGTACACCACAAGTACTCAATTACATAAGAGCAGCCAATGTTCACAACCGACCTAGTTAATCTATATAATAGAAATATCTTTAAAACATCTCTGTACATTTATATCTTTCAAGATGAAAAATGTCGTCTTATGCGCAATCTATCTTTAACTACTCTTTGTAAGTAATTCATATCTTTTTGCAATCTTTAGTTCCAGAACTTTGAATCGCCATGAGTTAATGTTTGCAAAAAGTAGTTTAACTAAATCTATGCAGTTGAAGTACTTGCTGTAAGTTAATTTGAGTAAGGAGGCGATATAGATTCTTTAAAAATAGACTTTGTTTTACTTCATAGATAATTAACATTCAAACCACAGTGATGCTAATTATTGCTAAACTATGCTAAGTGTTAGTGTCAGGTTTATTGCTATTTTATATGAATAATAGACATTTTATTCACAGCGTTGCTACAACTATTAGAAATGGAGTCCGATTTCAGCTTTAATAAATATTTAACCCGCAGTGATTCAAACTGCTAGACAGATTTCACCTTATAATAGACATTTAAGAGACTGTGCAGTTATAGAACAACTTTTGGAATTAATCAAAAAATAGATATTCAACCCACAGTGATGTTTAAAATGCTTTATATGGCTACTTTCAGATTTCATTTTAAAATAGACACTCAACCCACAGTGATGTTTCAAGTGCTAGATATTGTTACTTTCAGAATTAATCTAAAAATAGATATTTAACCCGCAATGATGCTGAACTGCTAGATAGTGCAATTTTTATATTTAATCTTAAAATAGACATTCAACCCGGAGTGATGTTTTAACTGCTAGGTTGGGCTACTTTCAGAGTTAATATAAAATAGACATTCAGCCCACAGTGCTGTGCTTTGAAGCTGGAAACCTGGAGATATTCTCACTAGGGTACTGGGATACTGGGATACTGGGTAGTAGAAACTTGAATGAGAACTCTCAATATTCAAATATAAATTTAATTTCTCTTGATTTTGTTTTACATTCATCAATAAATATCTTTTCCAATTTCCATTTCTTTATTTCTTTCTTTTTTTTCTTTTTTCTTTTTTTCTTTTTTTCTATTTTTCTTTCTTCCTTTCTTTCTTTCTTTTGTGATTTTTTCTTTCTTTCTTTCTTTTTTTTCTTTCTTTCTTCCTTTCTTTCTTTCTTTCTTTCTCTCTTTCTTTCTTTCTTTCTTTCTTTCTTTCTTTCTTTCTTTCTTTCTTTCTTTCTTTCTTTCTTTCTTTTGTTATTTTTTCTTTCTTTCTTTCTTTCTTTTTTTCTTTCTTTCTTTAATTTGATTCGTTCGCTT